TGAGTAGATCTCCTTAAAATAAAAAAAAAATAAAAAATAAAAAAATAAAAAAAAACTTTTTTTTTTTTTTTGGAATGATAGACTAAGTTACAACCCACAAATAGAAAGGTATCTGGTCAATTTTGTGGTGGACTAACCATAGTCCCATATTTAATCAAAATATATTTTTTCTTAGATTGTAACCAATTTGTTTATGATTTCGATTGACCTCGAATCAAACTCACACTCTACTTCCAAGCTTGACTAGGATCTTGATCCAACACTTTTTTTTTTCTCGTGGACCAATTTGTATATTTGATTATATTAAACTTATTGAGTTTAATGAAAACACGCAACACAAGAAACCTATATAAAGAATTAAGTGACTAATGTGTTCTACCTTATTGCCCTTTTATCTATCTACCAAACCCAACAAAATCGAAAAAAAAAAAGAAGAAGAAAAACAGAATTAATTAAAAGAGGATTTCATTGTCACAGATAAGTACTACTAAAGAAACCTTGTTTGTGCATATTGGCTCTTCGTTTTTTGCCCCCATAGTGAGCCTCGTTCGTTTCGCTGATTTGAATTTAGAATTCGAGTTTTACTACAGTAAAAAGCTCTCACAAACAGTCACATCTAACTTTTTTACTACAGTAAAAAGCTCTCATATAAAATCATATCTCAACTCGAATTCTAAACTCGAATCAGCGAAACGAACGATGATTATTCATATTGTTGGTCTTTTTCATGTCAAATTAGGATATAAAAAGGGCAACTCAGATCATTTGCAAGATCCCACTCCATAAAGATCTCACAATACTTCCTAAAAAAAAAAATCTCACAATACAAAAATAATATATAATAAAAAGATAACAAATTATGCATAGGAAATTATAGATTTTTCTTCTGTTTAAACGTTATAGTTTTTTGTTGTTGTTAATGTTTAGGTATTAGGGAGATTTTTTGGTTCGCTTGACGTATCGATATATTAAATTTTTTTAACTGTTAAATTTATATATTTTTTAATTTTTACATGATTTTATATAAATTTATAGATAACAAAATTTAACCTATTAATATATTAACGTATCAGAAAAAATCACTATTTTTAAGGTATTTGGTGTGAGGATTCATATCATGATTTAAATCACGATTCGTAACTCACTATAATATTTTTTCTAAAAAAATACACATAAAATAAAAATAATTTTAAATTATAATTCTGAATATGTGAATCAAACATCTAAATCTTTCACTTCTCCCTCCTATTTTGATAATCATGAGATAAATGGAACCGCCGAGCAGCATAAATGAGGTTAATGATTATTTCAGCCAAACAAAAGAAAAAGGGGAAAAACAAAATCAAGATCATGACAAATAAACACGGGGAATCAGGGGTAACCGAGGCATCGAAGGACACATTTGCGGTGGTGGTCAAAGGGCAAGGCTATTCTTAGAGGAATATGTGCTGGGGGTCACCGAGACTTGAGCCAATTGTCTCCTCTTGCTGTATTCATTGGCCGAGCATAAAGTAAACAGATTCCCATTCCAAAGATACCCCTCATCGCTTTAATCGATTATTAATCATAAAATAACAAAGAAAAAAAAGGCTCCAAAATTTCATATTCTAATGCTAGATATAGTATAATGTCATGTTATTTCCCAAAAAAAAAAAAAAAAAAAAAAAAAAAAAAAAAAAAACAAGTAAACTGAATTTCTGAATTGACTGTTGTCCCAATGAAAGAACATAGTTGCCCATTAGTGGTTGTAGAAGATAAAGTAAAAACGACAAAAGGAATTATTTTTAACTTTTAGGAGGAACTCCCAAAAAATTGAGTGCTTATCCAATTTAGAAAAGAAGAACATACGGATCTCATGCTTGCAAGTGTTTGAATGTAGGTATCTAAGATTCTGTTTATTTTACTGATTTAAATTTTATTATAATAAAAAATTATCAAAGACAGTTATATTTAAATTTTTTATTATAATAAAAAATTTTCACATAAAGTTATATCTTCACCCGAATTAACGAATTAAATGGGGCCTAAATTAAATAAAGTTTTGGACCCCTTTATTTATTTTGGCTTGGTGAACTGAGATATATATATATATATATATATATATATATTGAAATATATTGAGAGTTGGATTCAGTGACATCACATGCGTGGCATTTGGAATTTCATTCAATCAAGTTGTTTACACAAAACATATTACATGAACTATACTTTAAAAGGGGGCAAGTCTATGTTATATATCTTTGCTAATTGTAGTTGTTGAAAACTCTATACTAAATCTCTATATTAAGCTTTTGGATAAGTTGTGTGCCTCTCTTATATACAGTTTGGTGGCCAAATGAATTGTTCTCCCTTCTAAGATGGTGTTTTCAAACCCTCCCTTATATCACTATATGCAAAGAAGATAATGTTATGAGAGATTTTACACATTAAAGCAAACGTAAATAACGTTTAGTTTATAAATTCAGAATTATGATTCAAAATTATTCTTAATTTACGTGTATTTTTTTAAGAAAAAATACTTTAACGAGTCATGAATTATAATTTAAATTATGACACAAATTTACTAATTAAACGCAATCTTAGGCCTCATTCACTTCACAGATTCGAGTTTTCAATTCGAGTTGAGATGTGATATTTTTTTAAAACTTTTCACTGTAGTAAAAAAAATTAAATATGATATTTTTTAAAAAAAAATTTATATAAAAATTTAAAACTGAAAACTCAAATAAGTGAAATAAAGGAAGCTTTAAATTCTATTCATTTCATCATCCAAGTTTAAAATTAAATTATTCTGCCAAGATGTCAAGGATAAATAATTTCCGTACAAAGTAAAACCACTTGAGAGTTGCAACAATCAAATCATTACTTACAGTCATTATGTCCAATTTGATCTCAACTACCATGTCAGTAAATCACTGTAAAATGTTATGCGCTTTAAATCGCTTTTCACAAAAGAAATAATAAAATTTTACATGTGATCATTTGTAAAATTAACCGACTAATTAGCTTTATTATATTTCAGTTTTTTTATTAGGTAACATTGAACTTTCCTCCACCTTTTCTCACCATTCTAGTGGGCCATAAGAAAGTGACCAAAAGGGTTTGATTTGAGCCAAGAGGCGGTTTAATTTGTTAATTTAAGTTGAGATGTAATGTATATAAAAATTTTTTATTGTATTAAAAAAATTAAATGTGATTATTTTTAAAATTTTTTTATTGTAGTAAAATTCGAATCAGCGAAAAGAACGGAACTATTAGCTTAAGTTACTAATATATATGCTATTTAGCATCTAAAGAGTTTTTTTTTTTTTTTTGGTTGTGTTTTTCCTTTTTCTATTATTGTAAATGTATAGAGAAAGATTTTCGTCTCTTCTAATCACTACATCTCCTTTTATCCGTAATACTATTCTTCCATCCAAATAACATGCACGTAAGCTTCAAACTAGGTGAATGCAAAAATGGAAGATCTATATATTATTGGGCTTTTCTTTTCTTTTTGGAATTAAAACGAAAAGGGTAGATTTATCCAAATGAGTAAAAATATTACAATTATGGAAAGAACAAAAATTGGCATGGACAACAACGAAAAGATATTTGGACGGGAGTTATAAGTGGGACTTTTATCTGAGCGCCCGTTGCTTTAATCGAAGACAACTTTTGCCAACCTCCTTACTGGCGACACTTACCCAGTCCTATCAGATACTTTCCCATTACCATTATGCCCTCTATATTCTGAAACCCCGTTCATAAACTTGAGTTTTCAATACAGTTAAATTTTTTTTATAAAAATCACATTTAGTTTTTTTAATTATAATTAAAATTTTTTATATAAAATTATATTTCTAATCCAAATTAAAAATTTAAATAGAGACGAACGAGGTACACTCATTCTAGTACAAAAAGCAGTCACCCACAGGGGTAGTTTCGGAAATGCGTCTTGATCATGCATGTTTGAGGATTTCCGGCACCATCGCATAAACAAAGAGACCATCAATTTTCAAAGCATTAGAGCCCGTTTGGTCATCAATTTTCAAAGCATTAGAACCTGTTTGGTTCTAAGGATTAAAATTATGAGATTAAAATATATTTTTTATAAAAAAAATATTATAACAAATTATAAACCATAATTCGAATAAGAAAACGAATCATTTAATCAAACGGCTCTTAATATATGCATTTTGCCTTAAATGGCTCTTAATATATGCATTTTGCCCGTGCATATGCCACCCACCATGCTTCCATTTTCATGGACAATTATAAATCATAATTCGAATAAGAAAACGAATCAACGGCTCTTAATATATGCATTTTGCCTTAAAATGGCTCTTAATATATGCATTTATGCACTAATATATGCATTTTGCCTTAAATGGCTCTTAATATATGCATTTTGCCCGTGCATATGCCACCCACCATGCTTCCATTTTCATGGACAAAAACGACGTCGTTTTTTGAGTAGTGTCCTCACCGCGATTACAGAAGTCCCAAGGGGGAAATTTTGGTGAAAAAAGACCCCCTTTTTTTTCACCCTTATTATGTCTACTTTTGAAGTGAAAAATTTTCATAGCAATTAGGGCTTTGCTAAAAAATAAGAGATATTTTCAAACCAATTCGTTTACTAAAACACTAGAAGAATGAAGACTAATGAAATAAAAGAAAGGTCACTGCAGAACAAGAAATAACCATTTCTATGAAAAATTTGAAATTCCTTTGTGAAACCCAAATTTCCCAAACCAAACAGAATCAACAACACTAATTTTCACATAAAAAGCTAGAAGCTTTTCCTCATTCAGCAGATAAATAGCTCAACAACTTTATATGCTACAAAACAAGAACCACCGAAGCTACTAGTATCAATATACTTTATGAAGCCTATCAATTGATAATTGTTGCGACAACAAAACTAAATATTTCGTGATGATTCAAAAATAAGATAACCCATTTTTTACAATAAAGGGTAATTTACAAGACCCAAAAAAAAAAAAAAAAAAAAAAAAAAACGACCTTGTGGAAGATCATGATGAAGAAGAAGAAATAAAAAGAAAAACTAGTTAATTTTAACCTCACCTCTCTGATTCATTTCTTTCTCTCTCAGCCCAAAACCCCCCAAATCCTTTCCCCAATAAAACTCACAAACCTTCTCACCGATCCTTTCTCCGATGACAAAACCTCTTCCTCATCACCTTCACCACCGCCGCCACCTTCATGACCTTGCACCGATTCCGACTCGCCCGCCGGCTCGTCCTTTCCCGAACTCAACTCGGACCGTTTCAACTCACCCGACCCAGTATTAACACCATTACCGATATTACCACCACCATTTCTTTGCTTCCTTCTCTCCCTTTTCGTGGTCTTGGCGGCGCCTTTGGTCCTGGAGAGCAACAACTCGTCCTCGAAGGCGTCGATGATTTCGTGAATCAGCTCCCGATTTGGCGACGACCCCCACCGGACCCAGTAGCTGGTGTAGCACCTGAAGCAGTCGCAGTTGAACTGGGGAGGGTGGTCTCCGGAGGCGGAAGATGAACCAGAGCAAGAGCCGCCTTTTGCGCCCCCTTTCGGGGCGACGGCGGCGGCGGCTCGGCGCGAGGAAGCCGTGGTTCCTCCCGGGCTGTTGGAGGCGCTGAAGGAGATTAGATAAGCCAGGACCTCCCTGTCCTCCGGCGATAGCGCCGCCGTGAGGGTCAGGATGGTGGCGGGGAGGAACGCCAGGTGGTCAGAAATGATTGGCGGCGATGGGTGGACCGTGCCCTTCCGGTATAGCTTCTTCATGGCTGAGTTTGATGAGAGAGAGAGAGAGAGGAGAGAGAAAGAGAGAGGGTCTTATAATCTAACGGTGACTGAGAAGCTTGGACCTTGAAGGGTGAGTGAGGTTTTATTCTCGAAGAGAGAGAGAGACATTGGAGTTGGTGACGTGTGTCGGGGTCCAATTGAGAAATATTCACGTGTGACGCGGGACTTGTCTGAAAACGGTGCAATCTCAGAGTGAGTCAATAAAAGATAGATTAATTTCAAAAATTCCCCTTAACTATAATTTTTGTGAAATTCATCACGTATCAGGTACATGACCTATTTAAAGAAAGTATTATCATAAATTAACCTGCAACAATCCTTTTAAACATTAAAGAAAGAAAACTCAATAAATTAACACGACCGATTTGATGGGTTGCAGTGTAATTTTCAGCGTTAGATTAGAACTTGATGGAGCGAGAGGAGTAATCCTAAGAGGTAGGAGTGCATTCCTGTAAGGTATTGATGCTGGTGGAATAGGTGATTCTTCAAGGGAAATAGATGTTGGTGGAGGTGGAGAACTTGTGGGCGAAACAGATTTTGGTGGTGGGGGTGAACTTTGCGGTGGCAAAGATGCTGGGACGAGGGTGAACTCTCAAGTGCCGGCGGTGATGGTGGTGGAGGTGAATTTTTAGGTGGTTTTGGCGATGGTGGAGGTGGGGAATTCGCAGGTGGGTTGGATGACGGCGGTGGAGGTGAACTCACTGGTGGAGTTGAACTAGGTGGTGGTGTTGAACTCAATGGTGGAGTAGAATTAGGTGGTGGTGGTGACGGTGGAGGTGAAGTTTTTGCGCAGAGTTATGATTGTACGCAGATGGGGAAAAAATGAGGGGAAAAAAAAGAAAAATAGGGAACAGAGATGGTGAATTTTTTCAATAAAATGGAGAATTATTTGATTAGGAGGGTATAAGTGTAATTGCATTTTTAATTATCACCAAATAAGTGACACGTGACAATTTCGTCACTCATTGTAACAGAAGGGAAAAACTTGTTAATGAAATAAGTTCGGAGGGAGCAGATGTTACTTTTTAAAATTTAATGAGCACAGTATTACAAAAGTCATAGTTCATGAGAGATTTTTAAAATTAATCCATAAAAGATTCGTTTCTGCGGTGCCCAACGAGAAATTGACTATTTAACAAAATAAAATTGATAAAATAATTTTCTTAAATAATCTGTCTTCATAAAAAATTATCATTCTTGATCGTTATGTAATTATTTTATAAATAAATTTTTAAAAAAAATTATTTTACTAATAACATTTTTCTAACAAAATAAAATTAACAAAACCATTTTTTAAATAGTCGTTCTTCGAAAAAAAAAAAACATTTTTTACGATCATTCTCAATCGTTATGTAATTATTTTATAAATAAAATTTTTTTACAAATTATTTTATTAATAAAATTTTTTTATTGAGTTGTTTTTATAAAGGTCCTTATATTTAAGGGCCCACCTTAATTGTTCAGTCGACGTCTTTTCTCTCTTAGTATAGACGCCAATTCTTCAATTAGGGTTGGTGGGATTGGTAGGAATTTTTTTCCCCTTTTTTTTTTGGTGTTATGCTTCGCTTTATTCGTGGGACGGTACATCATACATGATGATGAACCTGAAACTCCCCAACTTTTATTTTTGGCGTTTGTTTTTTAGCGCATAAAAGACCAAACCCAGTCCCAAGAGTTCTTCAAGAAATAAAAAATCATTTTATTACTTGACCAGCAAAAACGTTTTATTACTTGAACTCTCTAGGAGCTAATTTGAAGTTTTTTTTTTTTTTTTGGTATAGTTAATGTGGGATTTTGAATTACAAGTTATTATCAACTAACTACTAGTATTAAGATGTTTAATTAAAATGCAATACCGTTTTGATGAGGTCAAAAAACGAACTCTAGTTGCTTGAATAATGCCATTGTACTTATATCTGATGTCGAATTACGCGTAATTTCCATTGACTTAGAGAAATTTGGGGTCCTCCTCAGCACTTGGAATCTCATTTTGGATAGTGATTTTTTTTTGGGATTCCTTGTACTCCGTATTAATGGGTCTAAATTGACTCGGATAATTCTCAGTGGGCAACAGTATTAATCATACATAAAACACACACACACGCACACATAAATATATATGTCTATATATCAGTTAAAATGGTTAGTTCCATCCATGTGTTACCCATGGCAGTTAAAAAGGTGAGTTTCAAATCGTTTGGTAACGCTTTTTTCCCCTTCTAAAATATGGCAAGTCAGTTGATAAAGATAATGTAAAGAAATTGTTCAGGTAAATTAGGAAATTTGCTTAATGGTGCTCGAGATATGATGGACAACGACAAGTTTGGCAATTAGGACCAACTTGGCCTTTTGAAGTCGTCAAGATATATTTATGCATATAGAAACAGACAAAAAACAATACATATATACAAACACACACGTATAGACGTTTGTGGAGTCCAAAGGGGCAAAAATAGAAATCTGAGGATATGCTTTAGTGTCATCTATGAGTGTAATGTTGCATGACGAAGGAAATTTAACCCTGATTCGGGTGTAATCGATGTAAAAGTTCTGTCGAGTTCTACATGGCAAGCCAATGAGAACAATGCAATGAAGCTGAGAGATCAACAAGGCACTCCCCTACAACATTGGCTTCTATGCAATGTAAAGATATGATAAGGTTGGGTTCAATGTTGCTTTCAATTGAATTGAAACAAAATACAACACAACACATAGTTCTTTCATTAACTTTATGCATATAAGCATATGGTTCTAGCACCAAGAGAGGGTGCAAAAAAGATATGCAAAACATAATCAGAATTTTAAAATGATTTAGTACTACCAACAATAGGTATATAATCAGACGGATAGTAAACCTTTAAGAAGAACTTTGTAGACGAGATTTGATCCATGATTCCAGATACTTGAGCTCTTCACCGCTTATTGAATGGCCAAGACCAGGATATGCCTGCAAATAAACAACCAAAGTTTACAATTAGGAATCAAATACCAATAAAATAATTTATAATTTGAAATGTTGACTTGTATTCATTACCTTAAACTCGCAGCTTACACCAGCTTTTTCAAGAAAAGGTGGACCTGCTTGTCCTGCTTCAAACAGAACCGTTCTGTCGGCCATTCCATGAGACCACAAAAATGGCGTCTGCGTATGTGTTTAAATCTCAGATTTGTTGAACCATTTCTAGAGCTATAATGTACAGCAGATGCTAGTGCCACTGAAGTGAAAGTTTATGCATCTCAGTTTCATTCATGGCATTTTCCAATCTAGTTCGTTGAAATATGTATTTTTGTTACATTAAGTGTCAGTATTTTACGTGCAAGTTTCCCATCATAATGTTACAGAACAAACCACATCAGGCAAACTAAGTATAGTTCCTTTCTCTGCAAGATTAGATAAAAATAAAAGTGAAATATGTCTCCAAGTGCAAACCAAGACTCAGAAGCATTATAAATGTTTTGAGAAGTACCCTCTTGGCTTCTGGTGGGATTTGTTCTAGAAACGATGAATTAAAGGGAACCCAACCGCTAAATACTGCGCCTCCTCCGAGAGTCTTAGGGTACAGCAGAACACTAGCCAATGTCAGAGCACCTGGAGGAGATTTTCAATGCTCAAAAGTTACAAGCAGTGACAGAAACTATAACATAACAATATATCCTTGTGTATGATTGTGAGAGAAGGAGAGAAACAAACCTCCTTGACTGAATCCGCACAAAAACACGTTTTTAGGATTGGTACCAGCAGCTATCTCCTTATCTATCATCTTATGTACATTCTGAACAGCTTTAAGCAAGCTGCCTTCATCTTTTGGAGAATCCTGAAATATTTTATTAAGAGCAAGGTTGGTAATCCAATTTTTAAAGAAGAAGTCTAAGTCTAACCAGATAAACCAGATGCCATTAACAGATTCAAGCAGATTTACAATCCATGTAAAATTCCTTATAGAAGCTTCTAGTTATCAGCTAGTTCGCTTTTGATTCCTTCAATCCAATTCACGATATAAATTTACAAGAAGCGACAGATATAATAAACACAGAAAGTATGACTTACGGCAGTCACTGGAATCTCATGAATGTCGAACCATGAGGGCATCACAGCACCATCTACACAAGAAAAAAAAAATAGTTCATGGAATTAGATGATTTTTTTTTTCTCAAATTTCAAGGAAAGGAAATTGGAATTCTCAACCAATTGTAGTCTATGCCAATACCCGCCTTCTAACAAGGATGTTGCATTTTCAGAAACATGTTAAAATTGATTCATGACTCTAGTGTAATTCCGAGGATATACATAATTTCACACACACTTCTACAACGTCCTCTACATAATTTCATTCAAATTTCAACATTCTCTTTTAATCATCCTTCAAAAGACCACTTGAAATTTCGCTGCTTTCCTAAAGTGATCAAGTCAAAACTGTATCTTTTCCAAAACGTCAACCTCTGCCACCTTGTCAGATCCCAATGCCATTCTTATAATCGAATTAAAACCAAGAACAGTACGACTGCCCATTAAACAGATGAAAAACTCGTATTTCAATTCTCCTGAGCAATGTCAAAGCTTACAACTCAAACTCCTTAATCAGAAATGGAAAAAAAAAACCAAAACAAAACAAAATCCATCTCAATAATTGCAATACCTAGGACATCAAATCAACTCCATAGACACAAAACAATCACAAACATCGTACACGAACCAAATACCCAAATTATGATAATAATGAAAATAAATAAGAAAGAGTAAAACCGTACAATTGCAGGTGACTGGGTTCGAAGGAGCAGAAGGGAAGGACCAGATTGTGTTCCTGAACTCGGGAGAAGTGAAGAAGGTCTTGATGGGCTCGTTGGCGGGTCCCGAGTCGCCCAAGCCGTGAAGCCAAAGAACGAAGCTCCGAGCCATGGAATCCGGTTTTCTAGAAGATGGGTTTGGCTGGGAAAGTAGTATGAACAACAAAGTTCCGGTTAAGGTGAGTGTGAGAAGAGCAAGTGGCTTGGTCAATAGTATCACGACCTTCTTCATTCTCGATCGTCCATGGAGGTCTGTCTATACTGTACCATTTGGCTCCTGGTTTACCAAATGACTCAATTACCCCTCTATTATTGTAGATTGCTAATTAGGTCCCTTGGATTTCCCGTGTTAGGTCCAACAGTCTCGCGGAAGCCCACCTTCTTCCGCCCAATCAACAACATTCGTTGAGAAAATTTAGTATAAATTTTCAGGTGTAAATTTAAAATAACATATTTACGCAAAAAAGTTTAGAAATATTCAAATGTGTCCACGTCTTTTCTCCCCCTTAAACAAAATTTAGTGCACGTTTGGAATCATTTATAAAAATATTTTTCACGTTTTTTAAAAATAAAAAAATAAAAATGTTCTCATAAATGTGTTTGGCACCGCATTTTTTAAAAAACAAAAATTCAAAACATTTTTTACTTATTCCTAAAAAGTTAATAAAACTGAAAATGATTAAGAAAAGTTAATAAAATTGAAAATGATTAAGAATCGTTTTCCTTCCCCCCTCCCTCCCTCTCTCTCTCTCTCTCTCTCTCTCTCTCTCTCTCTCTCTCTCTCTCTCTCTCTCCGAAACACACTCATTTCTTTTGTAATTTTCATGTATATAATGTTTATTTAATATATTTAATATTATTATTTATTTAATATATTATTATTTTAAATATTATTACATATTTTTAAAAATTAAATCACCAAACACAATTTTAATTTTGTTTAAACTGAAAACAATTTCAGAATAAAACTACCAAACGTATTTTTAGAAATGATTCCAAAATAAAAATGAAAACGTTTTCGTTTTTATTTTCATACAAAAAATAAAATTATTTTAAAACGAGTTCCAAACACACCCTTAAATTTAGAGGATTTTTTTGTCAGAATTTTTAAATAAAGGAATATATTAGGAAAAAGAAAAACACAGGCAATTAACTTCCCCTTTCTTTAGTTAGAAATTAAAAATGATATTTCGCTCATTCTAACCGGCGCTCTTGACCTCTTTTTTCTATTGACTTGATTGTAGGTCGTGGATGAAATGTGTGATTCGTAAAATGCCAAGAATAAATGGCACTTTGGTTCCTTAAATAGTCAGATTACATGAAATTCCTCCCTGACATTTCTCTTCATGTTTTTTCTTTGAAAAATAAAATAAAATTCTTCCCATTTTCAGTTAATAAAGCTCTATCCTGACTTCCAACGAATGTTTTGACAAAAATCCCGAGGTCGACAGTACAGTCTGGAAAAGTATTATTATTCATTAGGTCTCATTAATTTTATCGATTCGAATTTAAAATTTGAGTTTTGTTATAGTAAAAAGTTTTTAGAATCTGTCATATTTAACTTTTTTGCTATAATAAAAAATTTTCACATAACCGTTCACTTCGCTGATTCGAATTTGTAATTCGAGTTGAGATGTGATTTTATGTGAGAGTTTTTTACTGTAGTAAAAAAGTTAGATGTGATTGTTTGTGAGAGCTTTTTACTGTAGCAAAACTCGAATTCTAAACTCGAATTGGTGAAGTGAACGGGGCCAAAATCACATCTTAACTTAAATTAAAAACTCAAATCATTGAACTAAGCGATTCTAAAGTTTGTTAAAAATGGATGTGGGACCTTAAATATCTTAATGTGTAGATATATATATCTCCCTTTCTTTTTCTCTCTCTCGTACTATGCAATTCGCATTGTCCATACATCCTAAGGCAGATAGTTCATACGCTCATTGTCGTATATATACGCTTTTAAAGGTACATTAATACATGTTAATAAGAAGAACTGAATCTAATCTCAGAAAGTGAAACACGAAGAAGAGAATTCTTTAAAAAAATCTTGAAGTTCTATTATTGAGAAATAATCCTTTACAAAACTCAAAAAAAAAAGACATCACTAGAAAATCACAATCTGTAGACTTTTTCTCTCTACTCTCTCTCATAATCACCTACAATCGACTCAGTTACATGATCTTTTGTATTAATTCTCTACTTGTCTCAGCAAATAATATTAACCCAACATACTGACTAGGCTAACAACTAAACAACTTGACTTTTCCTTATAACTGACTAATCTTGACACATGACCCTGCGTGACTATACGATATTAATAACATTCATTAACTTTAGATATATCCGCGTTTGGTAGAGAGATTCGTTCCCTGATTCGAATCATGATTCGTAGTTCGCTACAGTATTTTCTCTCACAAAAAATATACGTAAATCGAAAATTGTTCGAATCACATGGTTTGAATCTTTCAACCAAATGAACATGTATGATGGATTGTGCTCTTTTGAAATCTTTAGTACTTCCAATTCTCTGTTTGCTACCACCTCTCAAATGAAATGATACTTCACATCCACATGCTTAGTCCTCTTGTGCTGCACCTGATTCTTGTTCAAACATATTGCACCTTGGTTATCACAGTACACAACCACATTTTCTAACTTCTTCTGAACTAGTAACTCAAAAACAAGCCCTTTTAGCCAGAGAGCTTCTTTAATAGCCTCTGTAGTTGCGATGTATTCAGCCTCAGTAGTTGATAAATCTACCATAGGCTGCAAGTTTGCTTTCTAATTGACTGTGTTACCAAAAACTTTGAAAACATAGCCAGTTAGAGACCTCCTGATGTCAATACTTCATGCAAAATCTGAATCAACATATCCCACTACTGTTTCCTTCTCTGTTTTAGTTTTTTCATACTTTAATCTCAGATCAACAGTACCTTTGAGATATCTCAGCACTCATTTCCCAGCCTCCCAATGTGATTTGTCAAGATTTGACATAAACCTGCTTATGATACTGAGAGAATATGCCAAATCTGGTCTGCTACACACCATAGCGTACATGACACTTCCAACAGCACTTTGACAGGGGACCCTCTTCATGTATTCCTTCTCATCTTCATCTGCAGGTGCTTGTGTTACACTCAGCTTGAAATGCTGAGCTGAAAGGAGTTAAGACAAGTTTAGCTTCCAACATACTAAACCTTTCCAACACCTTTTTCACATAAGAACTTTGTGATAGAAAAAGTTCTTTTGTTCTTCTATTCCTGGTAATCTCCATTCCCAGTATTTTCTTGGCATGTCCAAGATCTTTCATCTCAAATTCTGCCTTCAACAGTTTCTTCACCTTTGAGACTTCCTATGACTTTCACTAGCAATTAGCATGTATAGAGTGGAAGACACACTGATTTAACCACTCCCTGACTCTTTAGATAAACACAAGAGTCATATTTGCTCTTAAAGAACCCAATCTTGAGCATGTATTCATCAAACCTTTTATACCACCTTTTGGTGATTGTTTCAGCCCATAAAGTGATCTCTTCAATAAACACACTTGATTTTCAGTTCCTTTCTTAATGAAACATTCAAGCTGCCTCATTAAAATTGTCTCCTCCAATTCTCCATGTAAGAATGCGGTTTTGACGTCCATCTGCTCAAGTTCCATATCAAAATGGGCAACAAGAGCAAGTAGAACTCTGATAGAACTGTTTCCATCATCCATTTGGAGGGTGTACAGACGCTTCTTGAGATATAGCCAGTTTGTCAAAGATTTCTTCATGAACACCGCTTCAAGCTTCACCCAAATTTCAATGGCCGTTGTCTCGTCCGCTACCTCACGAAGAACTTCATCACCGAGGCTCAATAGAATCGCACTGTGAGCCCTTTTCGGGAGATCATGTTGCAATTTCTCATCGATCTTGGCCAGTGCTTCGTTAGAGAGAGCAACATCTAATCCTTGATGCACCAAGAACGCCTTCATCTTGATTCACCATAGATTGAAGTCATTCAATCCTGTGAACTTCTCAACTTCGATTTTCGCCATCGCCATTATTGATTCAAGCAGTCTCTGATACCATTTGTTAATAACAAGAACTGAATCCAATCTCACGAATGAGCAGAGAATTCCCCAAAGAAATCTTGAAGTTCTATTATTGAGAAACAATCCTCTACAAAACCCAGAGAAATACATCATCAGAAAATCCCAATCTACAGACTTTCTCTCTCTACTCTCTCTCCCTAGGTTCTTTCTCTCTCAAAATCACCCACAACCGACTCAGTTACAAGGCCTTTTGTAGTAATTGTCTACTTGTCTACTTGTATTAATTGTCTAAAATCCCAATCTATAAGTGCCGGATTAGTTTGTAGGAGGATTTAAATTAAGATAATTTTAATTATAATTTTAAAATTATAATTATAATTCATGATTTTGAGTTTAAATTATAATTTTGAAATTATGATTCTTTTTAATAAACGCCCACGGAGTTTTTCACGTGAGCCAGCTTATGATTTTCATATACAATAGGATTCTTTCTATTCTTTTAATCTATTTGTAGTTTAATTGTAATGTTTTATATAAAGATGTGTCCACTTAGATTTCTATCTATGACTTTGATGAGTTTCATCCACTTTGATATCGGTCTATAATTTTGATTTTGCGTATTTTGTTTTAGTGTTTTTATGTGCTTTCGTATAGTTTTACATTAGTTCTATAACTTTTAAATGCCGGATGTGGAAAATTTAACCCGTTTAGTTCGCTGATTCGAGTTTTTAATTCGAGTTGAGATGTGATTTTATGTGAGAGCTTTTTACTGTAGTAAAAAAGTTAGATGTGATTGTTTGTGAGAGCTTTTTACTGTAGCAAAACTCAAATTCTAAACTCGAATCAGAGAAATGAACGGGACCTAAGTAAACGGAGAATGAGCTAAAAGATTCGTCACTATATTAGGCAAGAGAATCTACGAGGACGTCATGAAAGAGCCAATTATGAAGAACCTATAACAATGGATGCTTTAATTTACCGATCTCAATACTTTTACCAGATGTACAATTGTTCAATAAAAATGTTCATTTTGGTTGAATTAATTGCTATCTTTATTTTAAAAAAATATATTTATCATTTATTAATGTTTCTAAATCATCAAACGGCCGTTAAATAGAAATGTAAATTTTAGCGAAATGAAATCATATATAGACGTCATGCCTTTTTTTTTTTTTTTTGAAAGAGCGTCAGACCATAAAAAAAAAAACCTTGAATAAACTGAAAAAACTAAGGTGAAGAAAAGTATTTATTTATATTTCTTTTAAGTTCTGCAAAAAGTTTGATGATTATATGATTATTGTACTGAAACAATGGAGTTGTTTGGTTAGGGGATTCGTACCCCGATTCGAATAATAATTCGTAGTTCGCTACAGTATTTTCTCTCACAAAAAAATATACGTAAATCAAAAATAGTTCTAATCTCATGATTCTAATCCATGAATTAAACGTCATAGGACCCGCCCTAATTAACTTTAGTGTTGGCTAATAAGGGAGGAAGTACCTGGAATCATGAGGTTTTTTTTTTTTTTTTTTTTTTTTTGATAAATTCACTTGAAAGAGAATTTGTTAATTATGGATTAATGAAAATTATGAGATACTACATAGCTAATTATAATATATTTGGGAGCTAGTTATAATATATTTGGAAATTTTTCTTTTTGATCATAGCCTTTACAGTGTAAAAGTAGAACTGAAATGTACGTCAAACAAAAAACTGCTGTGTATTTAACTTCACGATTAATTATTAAAAGAACAATTAAAACTCCAAACATGCATGGAAACAGAAAATCGTGTTAGTAGCGTATGAAAACCTCAGCTTGCAGAAAATAAAGGATTCATAAACTCTTCATCAAACAGAACGTGTTTGACCCTTCTGAAGCTGAACCAAAATATCATACACATTGAACTTATAATGAATTGCTCCTAACCTTAAAATCATAAGATTTAGATTGAATTATGAATAATTAAAAAATGGTTATTAACAATATAATCAAGTTCGATCCAATTACTTCTGACTACCTAATCAAAATTAGTGAACAATAGAAAATTATGAACCGATAATATATACAATTAAGAGTAGAAGCTAGCTAATTTCCCATTTAGGAATTAATTTCAATTAGCTAATTAGTACCGCTAGCTCTTCATTCCCTTTAGAAATATGAATAGCCAAACCCTCTGGGTGAGTTTGGAACTCGTTCTAAAATGATTTTATTTTTTATATGAAAATAGAAATGAAAATGTTTTCAATCTCAAACAGAAATCATTTTTGAAAATGCGTTTGATAGTTTTATCAAGAGATTGTTTTCAGTATAAAAAAATCTATTAATGTTTATCTCTCTTTCTCTCTACTCGAGAGAGGAGAAAACATAAACAAAAAATGAAAAACGACTAAAAGTCGCTTTTCATTTCTCTCTCAATTTACACTAAACTAAAAAATCATTTTCATTTCTGTTTTTTTATCTTTAATCGTGTCAAACACCGTTTTTCTCCCATTTTTTTATTTTTTTACTCAAAAAACGTGAAAAATAGAAATAAAAACAACTCTAAACACAGCCTCTATTTTTCAATTCTAGTACTTGATATCACACATATCGTGGTGAATTTCCATCAATCATGTCTTAAAACAGCAAATGTGATCAACCGACTTCAGGTTGGCCGTGCAAGCCGGATAGCACTTGTTTATATAGTCATAAAGCTGCACCATCCATTAATTAACCCTCTTAATTAATAACCAAATAATTAAACCAACGATCTAGAGAGTTTTAATCTTCTTCTTATTATTAGTTGCACTATTGGTGGTTATGGGAAACGGCCATATTAAACATCATATATATATATATATATATATATATACACTTACGATAACAGCTTTCTCATCCAACAAAACATCTCTCCCATTTTATAGCTACTACATTCTTAGACTCCATTGTCATCCTATCGTTATGGGCGTTTCTAGGGCTTTTGCTGTGGTGTGTTTTGCTTCCACGTTGATCATGTGCTCATTCTTCGTCGGAACGATGGGTAAAGTCATAAACTACGGCGTGATTGAGGGCGATCGGAATAAGTGTAAGAGTACTGGTGATAAATGCTTGCCTAATCCAGCCAACCGCTATGATAGAGGCTGCGTCCGAGGCAAGGATTGCAGAAACCATAACAAAGCCAAGCTATCTAGAAATGGATTAATATTCAATTGAAGGAAAAATGCACTAGTGATTATCAATCACTAGCTTTCAACCGGTTAGATATATATTGGCATATAAGATTGTATGAGACAATGTGTCGTGATGAGTTAGTGGACGTTTAGTTCATATATTCAGAATCGTGATTCATAATTATTCTCGTTTTACGTGTGTTTTTTTGAGAGAAACACTGTAGAGAACCATGAATCATGATTCAGAATCAGAGACGAATACAATAAACAAACATCCTAAATTGTATTTTTTTGAGAGAAACACTGTAAAGAACCATGACTCATGATTCAGAATCAGAGACGAATACAATAAACAAACATCCTAAATTGTTAAAAATTTGTTGTTGATAGCATTAGTACTAGTGATATATGGCATTGTTCTATGCATATATGATTGAATATTGAGGCTCAATCCAAGCTTCCATTAGTGAGTATAATTATGAAGATGTATTGGTCTCGACTCTCTATGGCTGTTATCTAGCCATGAGTATATATACCTATTAAGGAGCAACATTATGTGTCGTACAGATTCATGTGTTAGTTATCTTTAATTTTCATCTGAAAATAGAGTACTTAAATGTCATTTGTTTTTTAGATGGAGATGGATATGAAGGCCACCGATATTTGTATTTTGTAGGGTTCCATGCTATGCCAAATCGATTGAAAAATTGCAACATTGTATTCTTCTAGTAGCTATATGAGCGACCAACATCATAATAATGCATTTTATAGTTACTTGTGATAATTATAACAATCACTTATGCAAATTCCTATTGTGGTAGTGATATAAAGAAAGAAAAACCAAAATCAACACTATTTGTAAAATATTTTAGCAGAGAGTCTTTTATAGGTTGGAGATCATTTTTGAGATGTTTTAAATATTAAATTCTAAAGGGAAAATTTCATTTTAATACTCTGTATTTTATCAAAATTTGAATTTAATATTCTCTGTTTTTTAAAATTTCATACCGGTACCTTAACTATTTAAAAAATCTTTTTTAAGTACCTTTGAACCCCTTTTTGAAATGTGAAATGTCAAATCCACTATTTTTATTAATTAACCAAAAATTAATAAATTGAGAAAATTTAAAAAATATTTAGAACAATTAAAAAATGATAAACAGCAAAAAAAAATAAAAAACAAAAACAATGATAAAATCAAAGAACAACTGAGAATAAAGAACAAGATCTGCAAACAACACATTAACAGCAAACATCAAACCAAATCTACATAGAACTAATCTGCTTATTCATTATTTAACAAACACCAATCAACATCAAAGAACAACAAAAAGATCTGCAAAAACAGTCTTCCGCCTCCACCGCTCCTTCCACGACAACAACGCCGGCTGGATTATCAAAATCCAAGACCCACCCAAACCATTCCTCTGCAGCGTTAACCCAACCCCGTCACCGTCGCCCAAATCTTGATTTTTGAGTTTTTGAATTTGATAGTTCAAGCAAAACAAGTTGAATTCAATTGGGTTCTCTCAGTTCAGATATGTTGGGTGTGTTTGAAATTTATTTTAAAATAATTTTATTTTTTATATGAAAATAAAAATGAAAACGTTTTTAATTTTAGATATAAATTTTTTTTGAAAATGTGTTTGGTAATTTTATTAAGAGATTATTTTTAGTATAAAAAAACTCATTAATGTATTTGTCTCTTTGTCTCTGCTCGAGAGAGGAGAAAACCAAAATAAAAAATAAAAAACGTCTAAAAGTCGTTTTTCATTTCTCTTTCATTTTACACTAAACCAAAAAATCGTTTTTATTTCCGTTTTTTGTCTTTATTCCGCCAAACGTTGTTTTGAGAAAATTTTCATTTTTTCTTTCTTGAAAAACGTGAAAAATAAAAACGGGATCAATTTCAAACACGCCCGTTGATTTTTTTCCTTGTTTTTGTTGTTTGAATATTGTTTTTGAGTTTTTTTTTAATTTTTATAAATTTTAAATTATTTTTCTTATTATTTTTAAATTTAAAATTTTTAGTTAAATAAAAAGAAGGACAAATTTGACATTTCACATCTTGAAATGAGGTTTTTTTCAAAAGTCGAGGTACCGACATGAAATTTTTAAAAACAGAGGGTACCATAACTCATATTTTGATATAACACAGAGTACAAAAATAAAAATTTTCTAATTCTAAAATATAATGACAGAGTTTCCTTATCCTGACTAAGGAAACGTACTCCCATCTAAGGCCCATTTGTTTCATATATTCAACTCAAATCATTAATTATGCTAAAATATTTTTTTTCATAAAAAATTTAAATTTTAAACGTTAAATAAAAATTATATTTTAAATATATCTTTTAAATGAGTCCTTAACGTTTAAAATTCATTTTTACTCCTAATTATTTCTAAATTTCTAAAATTTTAAAAAAGAAATAACACCTTTCATTTTTTCCAAGTGCCCCCACTAAACAATTTTTCTCGGGGAGAAAGAGGGAATTAAGCCAAGACTTGAGATGAATTAAAATTAATAGGTCAATAGTTTACATAAGTTAATAAATAGGTCAAATTACTATTTTTGTTCATAACTTGTCTGGTTATGAACCATAACTTCATAAGTTATTCACAATTTTTATCCATAACTTGTCTAATTATGAACCATAACTTGACAAATTTATTCATAACTTATCTGATTATGAACTAACTTAATAAATTATGACCTATTAATTTCTATAACTAAAAATTAACTTATATATTTTTTTAAAATTTACATATTGACATATTTTTTACTATTTTCCTTTTTCTCGCTCCGCCGTTGCCAAAATGGGATTTACACCAATTTTGGGTGGCAAAAACGAAATTAGCCCTTTATAATTAGCCGTTAAACTCGCTCACGACGCAAAAGTGCTTAATTCAGCAATAAAATAAAATAAAATAAAAGAACAGCTCAATAACTTTTTGACTTTATATAGCCAAGGTGGCAGAACTCAATTGGGCGTATTACCCGAGATATTTGGCCTTAGAGCCTGCGAGCGAGCAAGCGAGTTAGAAAGGAGAGGATTCATGGCGGCTTCGAAGCTCCAAGCGCTCTGGAACCACCCGGCCGGCCCTAAAACTAGTGAGTTGACTCGCTCTTCACTTCTTTTTTTTTTCCACATATCTCAATCGCTCCCTCATAGATTTTTTTTGTTATTATTTTATCTATTTATTATTTTGGAATGACAATCTTAAGAAACTTTGTTTTTTGTTTTTGTGGATTTGAGCCAATTAGATAGGTCCTATCTTCAGATTCTCTTGGCCAATAGTTCATATGATTTCGTCCTCTTATTGTGATTCCTACTCCCACCGAAAAGATCCATCTTTTTGTGTTATTTTGTATTGTTTTATTATGCTTATCATGTTTATTTATTTATTTATAACCTTTTGGATGATTATACCTAGAGAATTAGAGTTTTTACATCTTTGTCAATTAATTTTGCGCTCATATATTAAGAACCAGGGAAAAAAAGGGGAAATATTACCATTTTACTTGTCAAAAGGTTGCACCCAATTGAGAATTGGATGGGAGAACTTGGGTCAGAGGGGTTTTCTTGGTGCATTGAATAACAACAGACAATTTGATAGACACACACATATATATGTATAAATATACATTATATACGTATATTTGCGGATTTTCAAGGTGAAATCATGCATTTTGACCACTAGAAAACCAAATGGAAATCACATAAAGCATGTCATGCATTTTTAATTGGTTCCTCCAGCTCACTTATATTAGTTGGAGTCAGACTTTCACAGGTTGCTTGAAATTGAATTTATGGTTTTGTTTGCAAAGTCTCTCTTGTGATCCTAGAATCCAATAATCTTTCAAGGCCAATTGTCAGTTTTCACTTTGAAAATGGTCTCCATAGAACAGGTTCCGGTATCTAAGCTATTCATATGATAGAAAACTAGTTATGGATACCAATTCTATTAAGTGACAAATCTGTGAATATTGTCTTATGTATTGATTAACAGCTCTATCATTGCAGTTCACTTTTGGGCACCAACATTTAAATGGGGTATCAGCATTGCAAATGTCGCTGACTTCTCTAAACCACCTGAAAAGCTTTCTTATCCTCAGCAAATAGGTATGTTCATGATATGTTGTTTGATAATTGTCTATGGCACACCACAAAACACATGGGGTATTCATAAATGAAGCGCCGCAATGCCGCACTGTATATTAAGCTACAATGGTGTAACTTTCTCACATTTCCCTTCATTTCCTTGGACTATGGCACCAGCGGTTACTTGCACAGGACTTATCTGGTCACGATACAGCACTGTTATCACTCCGGTAAGTTTGATATAGAACTATTGATAGTGCAATTTATGTTTACGGATCGCAATGAGATGATTTAGGTACTACAATCTAATGGAGAAATTCAACTTCACCCATGCTTAATTAACTCGTCGAGTCCAAACCTTGCTTTAAAATTAGATATCAGTTTGCTCTTTCCTATTGTTACTCCGAGGTTTCTAACATGAGATGTATGTAAATTTGTAATTGCCTTACTGTTAATGGTATTTTGGCGCATTCCCCCCTCACCCTCCTGTCCTTTTGGTTGTAATTGTGTGAGTATTTAATATTTATGCCTGCATGTGGACACATTCAAATAACTACTGGCTCATTTTGGTTCATATATTCGAACAGAAATTCAAATTCGTCTAAATTTTTATGAGAAAAAACACTACAAGAAAAAAATAATAATGTTTGAACCAAAGCTTTTTGGTTCAAACCTATGAAAACAAAGGCTGCTAAATCGCAGTCTCTACATTAATGAGGAAATGTAGCAGATTAAAGCTTATTTCTTTGTCCCTAAATATCTCTTTCAGATGTCACATCGGACACAATGGATACATCTATTGTCTTTGTTAGCGTTTGCTGAACTGATATACTGAAAGCATATTTCTTTGTCCCCAAAAATCTCTTTCAGATGTCACATTGGACACAATGGATATATCTATTGTCTTTGTTAGCTTTTGCTGAACTGATATTTGACTTCACTTCGACTTATGGTTGTCCTTGATTTCAGAAAAACTGGAATCTTTTTAGTGTAAACGTTGCAATGGCTACGACAGGAATCTACCAACTCACTCGTAAAATACAGTAAGAGTTTATTCATATCATCTCTTTTCCGTACTTTCCACATATATGGTCCATGAATGTTGCATGTCCATGACGCATTTTTCATAATGCAGGCACGATTATTTTCCCGAGGAAGAAGCTGCTGTTGCAAAAGAATGATGACGAAAAATCCATGTTTTGTTGAGGAGTGGGAGTCCCAAATTGCTTCTTTCAATTGCCGTAAATTGAACTCTATTAATGTCTCGTTGGTGCTTGATCTACTTAACATGGGAGGCTTTACAAAGGAAAAATGTTCCTCTATTGCTTTTTCTTGTACTTCACATTATTGAGCAACTTGAACAGCTAAGCCTGAGAGTCCCTGATCACTAATAAAAATCTTATTGACTTCTCTATTTGTCAGTACAACTAGTTTCGATTGACCAAATGAAACGCGCAAAAATGATTCTTATTAGTAAATATGATATGATCCACAAAAGGATAATATATTAATATGGCATTTTGTTCTTAAATCCAACCACTTGTCGATCAAACAACATAGAAATGGCTCACTCTGAATTCTTAAGAGGAGAAAAAAAAAAAAAAAAAAAAAAAACCGCAAGACAAGTTTATACGGTGGACAAATCTTTATCTAGCTTTTTATCACTGGATAAATAATGCATAGAATTTGAATGTAGAAAAAGACAAATTCAAATAACTAAAAATAATTCATTAAGACCGCATTAAACTTTGTTAAGTCCAGCACATTCATCCAATGTCTCACTAATAACCAAAAAAATATGCCAGAAAGGAGGGGAAAAAAAATCAACTATTCGGTGCTCAAATTAGTTATTGTGTCTTGCACCAGTAACTCAGCAATGGAACATATCATATGAAGACTAAGACTACATGCATAAGCCAAAGAAACCGATTTGCCCAAGCGTCGTAGAAAGCCAAAGGGAGGAAAGCATTCTGAAGGCAGAAATAATTTGGCTGCTGCTCAATATCTTTGGGTGTCTGAAAAATGAGAGAAGGCCTCCATTCATTACTCGAAGTCCGTTTGCTTTGAGTTCACTCATTCGACCAGCAATCTCTGTGATCGGCTTTCGAGTCAGTGTCATTGTCACCATCATGGGCATTCAAACCCAAGCTCAGGTCCAAAGTGCTTTCATTCAAATCTTGGCGTACTACCTTATTTGTCTCCTGAGACCGAGCAGAAAATGTTATATCTAAAAAGAAAACGAATACGTGTTTACATGATTCATATTTCATAATAGACGAGTCCAATTGCCTCACAAAAATTCATATAACCTCATAAACGAAGATAAGGTAGATAAGATAACTTCCAACAAATTGCAATATTATCCAACCCAAAAACCCCACATGATAAACATTAGTCCGCAGCAGCACATGAACAGCAGTTGTTTCCAATATATATAGACAGTACTTTTGATTTGGTAGGAACTGATTCAACTGAAAGCAAGAAAATAATAACATCTCACCTGAGTTTCTTCCATGGGAACATCATTAATGTCGGGTTTCTCATCCAAATTCTCATCTTTGGTGGATTGATCAGCATCAATTGGTTTCGCTTCATCCATCGTCTTTTCTGCAGCCTCTTCCTCTGCAGAATCATCTTTCTGTTCCTCTAGCACTGCAATCTGCATTATCAGATGGCAAACGAGAGAATATATCAGGAAAGCAAAGCAGCAACAAAAAAATAAAAATAAAATAAAAATAAAAATAAAAGAAAAAGAAAGAAAGAAAGAAAGAAATTGGTGTAAAACAAATTTATAAACCCCATTTCAAATATGGATAATGTTAATGATGTTTTATCCAATTTTTTTGATGTCTAGAGTGATTCTTCCAAAAGAAGCTCATACAACACATTAGAAAACATTATCTTTCATCCTTTACTATAAACTAGTTTCTAAACTGGTTGCACTTTGATAAAGCCTTGTCACCGGGCATAGCAGGTAAACTAAAACGCTATTCTGAAATTCCCCTGCTCAACTGTACAATTACTCCACTTACACCAATATACACCATTCCATTGCTCTGGATGAATTTGATTTTTGGGCTACGTGAAGTCCTGAATCCAAGTTGTATTTTCACATTATGGCTATTCTTTGCCGGATCAACTCAACCGGAGTCCGGAGCACCGGTCTAATCATACCAATTACTCTAAATATTGCATTTTTCTTTTTTGAAACGGAAGTGCCTTGCATTAATTAAGTAGCCAAATCGGCAATAACAATATCCACAATACAATCAGGAACTTCCTCTAACCAAAAGTCTAACCAAAAGAGATCGCCTCCTGCCGACGGAGCAAATTGCGCTAGTGTATGGCCTGCCTTATTACACTCACGAGAGACAGAGCAGCAATTACCACCACCAGACTAAGCATCACGAGAGATTAAGCAGAAAATTGCTAAATATTGCATTTGCATTTCGTAAAACAGACAAAATATAAGCAACTGAAAAAGGAAAAAACGGGGTAAAAAATCCCACTTTCCACATCATCACTTCTCACCAGCTATTACCGAAACCCAAATCCAGCATTGCCACATTTACACTCAACCAAAACTACTGCTTCCACAGTATTTTTTTTTTTTTGGCCGAATTGAACTAAATCCCAGGCAAAAGAGAAAGAAAGCTATAATTGTTAAACATACCATCTGGAGGTAATATTTAAAGCAACATATCGCATTGTAATAGAGGTAACCCAGATGTGGTGTTAACCTAAAAAATAGTGTAAAGATCACAAGAAAACTTCTAAGAAACCCAAAGATCCAATCTCTCTATACAAATTCTTCAATAAACCTACAAAAAGGGTAAAAAAATCCTCTGTTCTCCTGTATTGGGTTGTTTAGTTGGTGGATTCCAATCATGATTCGTGATTCTAGTATTTTTTCTCAAAAAAACGCACGTAAATTGAGAATAATTCTGAATCTATAATCAAACGTCCGTTAAATGCCCAAAAACCCTAAACCATAATTGACCAAAAACCCCTCGCAATCCCTTACCAAAACCGAACCCCGTACACAACCAAACTCCAAAAATTCAAAAATAAAAAAATAAAAAAAATACCGGAACGTATTTGAATTTGCGCCTGGGAGGCTCCTCTGGAGCGGCGGCGGTGTCGTCGGGGGGGGGGGCGGGCCTGTCGGCGTAATGGCGGCGTTCTGGCTTTGGGTGAGTGGGGTCCACTTGTAGAGGACGAGATGGGAGCCGTTAGTGCCGTTAGAGGAAGCGTTGTGAAGATGAGGGTGATGGTGGTGGTGGTGGTGGCTGTTGGAAGAAGGCGTTGAAGAAGAAGAAGGAGAGGCAACGTGGACCCATTTCTTCTTCCACTTCCTGACCGGCCCATTGAACACCGTGGCCGGTCCGTACCGGGATGACCGGCCCAGCCGGGCCCCCACTCCCTCCATGTTGGATTCGCCGCCGACTCGGGAGATCCTCCGATCCGTTTTTCTTGTGTTTTTTTTTTCTTTTTTCTTTTCTTTAAGGAAAAAAAAGAAAACAAATTTAACGGATTTTATTTAGAAAAAATAGGAGGGGTGGAGAAAATAATTAAATAAATGAATAAAAATGGGAAATTTTTTTTCCCTCTCTCTGTGTTTGTCTCTGTAGAAAAGCTCTTTCCTTGATGGATGGTTGGTTGTTCCTTTCTCTCTCTATAAACGGGTGTTATAATGGTTTCCGTGTTTGGGAAGGATTGGATACTGGCATCATGCTGCCGTACTGTTGTGAACCATGTGGTGCCTAATCAGGCCGTTCAGACGGCCACTTTTTTTTTATTAAAAAATTATAGTAAATAGTAAATTTTTAAAAATAAACTAAATAAATAACAAGTTTTTAAAATTATTTAAAATAAATATCAGTGTAAAGTGTAAATGTGCCATTTACAATTAGTAAAAAAATATAAAAAATTACAGAATTTAACTGTAATAGTGCATCAGTTAAAATTTTTATTAATATAAATTTTTACTCTTAATTAATACTCTTTTAACTAATATAATATATTTTTTTGAAATGAGAAATTTCATTTCATAAGAAACAAATTACACAAGATATAAATGGGTTCAAATACAAAAGAATTCGACATGAATCAATGACTGGATCCACTAGCAAAGACTAAAATAGCACATGGGTGAATATAAGTATTGAGAATCAAGTGAGGCAATACCGACTAGGCACATGAACTATGAAATTTAAAGGAGTATTTATCTCTTTTTCTCTCAAAAATAATTTACGTGGTAAAAACCTATATAATTTGTGGAATTTTTTTTTAGCAATCGTAAAAAGAAAATTCACATAATTTTTTTTTCGAGTCATAAATAAAACATTTTACACAGTAAATTATTATTTACGTGTTCAGATATGTTGTCCCTATTTTTCTATCTTAGTGGTTGTCCCACTACTAATTGCTTCCATGTCATCTAAATTAGTAATCTGACCATATAAAGAGGAAAAAAAGGCACCAAAAATAATTAAGCAAATCACGAGATATTATAATTTAATTGGTGAGACAGTCATTGAGACATGAATATGAGACAATAGATCTAGTTTCGTTATTTACTTCAAATCGTTTAAAAAATATTATTTATTTAATTTAGTTTCATAGATTTGTTATTTACTATAATTTTTTTTTTCTTTTTGAATTGTGGATGTGAATGGTTCAAACCTTTATCTTTATTTATAACTTTATGTAAAATTTATCAACTATTTGTAATTACGACTATATCACAAACATTTACTCCGAAAAGCCAAAAATAAATAAAGACAATAAATCCAACAAATTTTATGAGAGCTAATACACATATACATTTTTTTTTTTTTTTTTTTATAGAAAGTACATAGATACATATTAGGTTGTGTGAGGCTTGTGTAACAAGTGCATCAAATTCAATGGAAGAAATGGGCAACTCCTAAGAAAAAAAGGGAGGCACACCGACCAGAAGTGAGGAGCCAGAAAATATAGGTTTCTAAGGTCTATCTTTTATTTGTTATTTCACCAATGCGAGTGACGAGTTGTTTCGAGTCTCAGCCTCACTCAGTACCAGCTTTAAAGGTATGATATGTAGGCAGATTTTTCGATAGGTTGAATCGGTCAACTGTCATGTAAATAATATAAATGAGAGACTTTTCAGCTCATGTGTGTAGCATTTGACTTTGTCAGCGACATCTTGTGCCCATTGCAAGTTGAGTGAAATTGCCATCATTTTTCACCATCCTTACAAATTAGACCTTCCAATCTTTTCAGAAATAACTAAAAAAACGACCATAAAAGACACATACTTTTCTAGAGGAAAAAAACTGTTTCTATATGATTAGAAGTAACTAATATCATAAACCTTATTGTTTTCAACATTTGAGATTTTATAAAAGAATCAAGAGTGTAACACATGCGCGAAAGATTATATGAATATTTAATAATTAACGTAAGTACCAAATTTTAACTTCTGATAAACATAGGGGTTAATTGTGTATCATTTTTAAATTATAGGGATCAAATTGAAAGAACCGCTATTCTTCAAGGTATAAATTGAAATTAATTCCTTTTTTTATTATAAACCTGTCAAAGTAGAAGGCAAAAAAGAAAGCCTAATCTTTTCATAAAAAATAAAAAAAAAAAGAAAGCCCAAGGAAGCCTTGTCGACGCACCAGTTCTCCGCCGTGTCTCTTTGTCGGCGTCGTTCCTCTGTGAAACCTAACCTTTTTGGTTCGGAACTAAGAGTTGTTTAAACACTTGTTTGGGTTTGAAAATTTTTCTATATTGACTATTGATTGATTTTTATTTTGGTCTGAAATTAATTCAAGCATGTTTTCATTTGATGTTGAATTGGGATTGTAAAATTTTGGTTTACAACTTTGTATGAAATTTGGATGAAATGTGCATTTCCATTCTTTGTAGGTGGTAGAAACTCTGCATTCTCTCGCTCAGTACTATAAACCCAAGAAGTTGAAAAACATCTTCAATGGAAGTTAAAAGCATTGTAGCTGGATTTTTCTGTATTCATTATTTGACATGTAGACTCCACTAACATGATATATTATTATTTAAAAAGAAAATGAGATAGTGGAGTTTACATATCAAATAATGAATACAGAGAGTGATAAAAAGAGTGACAGAAAGAGTGATGTTAACATTTCTCTAAGGAAGAAATATGTGAGTGCCCTATTTTCCCTTTAGATTGTGTTTGAATTTTATTATCTATCATTGCAGGATGCGGAGGTGCTGAGTTTGCAAGAGAGAAGGGTATCCCGGTTATTTTGTTCCCCAAAATGAAAGATGAACCTGATGGATTATCCCCAACTGACCTTGTAGATGCCCTTAGGTCAGCGTTCTCTTCCATAGTATAAATGGAGTCTTTCTTGCTTCTTTGGATATGGTGAAATTTTGAACCATCCCGTGCATATAAGTTGTCCTTTCTTCGAGAAATCTTGTATTTTCTGGAAACCAAGAACTAATTGATCGCACCCATTATTGCGTTTTCCATGTTTTTCGATTCATTAATCTATGTTAGTGAGATCAACGGTACCCTAATTAGTTTTTTATGGTTATTTATTTACTTGAACTTGACAGGTTCTCCTTAGATTATGGCGTTACTAATTTAATCTTTGGATGTTTTATTTGAGCTCGTCCGTGCTTATCCGAAATCAATGATCAATATCCATCGATCACTTCTTCTGGCTTTTGGAGGTAAAGGTTATTACGGTATGAAGGTGCATAAAGCAGTAATTGCTTCTGGAGCAAGGTATACTATATTATCTCCAACTCTTCCAATCCTAAATTTTTCTTGGAATTTTCAGAAATACCCCTTAGCGAGTCGTCATTGTTTCCGCCTTGATTAGATTCTCAGGTCCCACAGTACATTTTGTCGATGAGCACTATGGCATTGGTCGTATTCTTGCTCAGAGTGTTGTCCCCGTGCTTCCCGACGATACTGCAGAGGTGCTAGCAGTGAAGGTTCTTAGGGAGGTAAGAAAGATTCACATCTCCTTCACTTTTTATTTCGTAGATTTTCATGGTTTGTTTCGCATAAGCAAAGCAAACAAACTCATAGTGCGCGTTTGGAACTCGTTCTAAAATGATTTTATTTTTTGTATGAAAATGAAAATGAAAACGTTTTCAATCTCAGACATAAATCATTTTCAAAAATACGTTTGGTAGTTTTATCAAGAGATTATTTTCAGTGTAAAAAAACTAATTAATGTCTCTCTTTCTCTCTCTCTCTACTCGAGAGAGGAGAAAATGAAAAACGACTAAAAGTCGTTTTTCATTTCTCTCTCATTTTACGCTAAACCAAAAAATCATTTTCATTTTTGTTTTTTGTCTTTATTGCGCCAAACACCGTTTTAGAAACGTTTTCATTTTTTCTTTCTCAAAAAACGTAAAAAATAAAAACGAAATCAATTCTAAATACGGCCATAATGTTGTTAACCCAATACTTCCTCACAAAGGTGACGTGCATATGCATGATATTCCATAACTTGTTCAGTTTACCTTACACCTTGTGTTTAACTTTTTGTTATAGGAGCACAGTTTGTATGTGGATGTGGTGGCGGCATTATGCAAAGATCGGGTATTGTGGAGGGAAGATGGTGTTCGGAACGAGTATAGGTCCCATTCTTTTCACTGATTTGAGTTTTGCTACAGTAAAAAGTTTTCAAAAACAGTTACATTTAACTTTTTTACTACAGTAAAAAGCTCTCACACAATCATTCTTTTCGCTGATTTGAGTTTTGCTACAGTAAAAAGTTTTTAAAAACAGTTACATTTAACTTTTTTACTACAGTAAAAAGCTCTCACACAACATCACATCTAAACTCGAATTAGTGAACCAAACGGGCTCATAGATAGCACGAATAGCATTTTGTTACGCAAACGGCAAAAATGCCCGAGATTTGGGTTCATGTATTGTAGAGGAAGGGTACACATGACATGAACCACCGTTGTCAATAAGAAAATGGTACAAGTTTTGAAGCGCTCTCCACCATTTTGACTAGTATCACCAATTATTTGTATTTTAAACAGCCATACTTTAGATTCTAGGGTGAAAATTATTTAAATTTCGATAAACAATCCTAGATGGATTTAACGGATGGGTGTTTATGGAGCTCAGCGGGTGAAATAAACCCGTTTTTCAAGGATTGGGTGTTTATAGAGATCAGAGGGTGAAATGTACCTATTTTCCAAATTCGTTGTCATGTTGAACTACGAAATTAATCCTAAACAGGGATCACAATAACAATAGACGACGCTAAGGTGGAAAAAAAAATAAATAATGAAACGACAGCAATTGAAAATGGTAGGCACATAGATCAACCGCAACAAACTGAAAACAACGTAATAAAATGACATATAAAAAGAGCAAACAACCCTTAGCAAAAAACGGGTAAACAACCGCAACACGTTAAAACAAAAACAAAAAAAACAATCTTGAAATAAAGATAAAAGTGACACATAAACATGTTATTTTTTGCTGTTCGAAACGTATTTGTTTAATTATAGCTAAAATGGCCATACGTGGCTCTCACAAAAGATAAACGGCTAGTATTGCCACTGATATGTCGTTTTATTATTTATGAAGGCAAACTCATGGTGAACGGCATAAGCGGTATAGTTTGTAAACGACATCAGTTCTCTCTATTAAAAGCTGCCACTCGAGGAAAAAACGACAATAATTCGAGGAATTCGAGTTCGGGAAACTCATGGTAAATGGTGGCACAGTTTGTAAACGACAGTCGTTCTCTCTATTAAACGTTGCCACTTGGAGAAAACGACATCAATAATAATTTCTTATAAGTTTACAATTATGGTAGAAGTTTATCACACGACAATATGACATCTTGCTCATTTAAAAGATGTACGGTTCAGATCAATCCCCCACTCAATGAACCGTCATGATCCTTTATGTAAGACAAATCAGTCACTAGGGTTTTCTTCCGAAGACCCAAAAAACACAGTTTTCATCTCTCTCTCTCTCTCAAAATTTATGCAAGGCTACATGTAGGATGAGTGCCCTTGATCTTGAATTGCCAAAGCGGCTGTAGCCAAATCCAACGGCTGAGAAGTTAACTGGCCGCTTATTGTGAGACAATCTTTCCCGTCGATAAATCTGCTTACCGAACTTCTCACATTTTGTTTTTTTTTATTTATTTATCATTCCTCTTCTTTTTTTTTTAAATTAAAAAAAGGCGTAATACTGATGTGATTTTTTGCAAGTGTACGAATCGCACAAGTAATATAATGAGTGAATAAGATATCGTTCTCACGGAGACTAATTTAACAATTATTGAAATTGATATTTTTTACTTTATCTAGACAAATAAAATCTCTAAGATAGATCAAAACTGAAAAGAAAGCAAAATAAATAACACAAAGCATATGCAAAATAATTATGAAAAGAGATCAATGCAAAGAAAACACTAGAGCATACAAGTTTCACCAAGACAATTTCTATTTAATTCCAATTATTTGCTAACATCGCCTCTCATTCATGTAGTAGAACAAAACACCCTAATTTATCTAATAGTCCTTCTAGGGATGCTATTAAAAATATTTTCAACATGTAAATTCACTATCGCTAGATGTGAATCCCGCCATCCTAGAAATTCATTAAGTTCTTTAGTTTTTCCAAAATTACTCTTGCAAGTCGTAATACTATCTCTCGATGTCCTACGCACCTTACGGTTCTTTTTATTAGAAATTATTCCTAAAAATCTCCTTCGGGGATTTCAATTTAGGTTTTCAATTCAATTCAATAAGTGATCAATTTATTGAAAGCATTAAGAACAATAAAAGAAACACATACATGAATGGAAAACTCTTAGTTAATAAACTTCATTGAAAGAAAATAATGGAAATCAAATATTCATGTATTGGCTACACTTGTAGCCCTAGCCTAGAAATTTAGAACATAAATGAAAGAGAAAACATAATGACAATAAAATTCAACACAAGAAATTCAGGAAAGAATAAAACTGTTTGGCGAATTCGAAGTTGAACTCCGTTCTTGAAAGAATCATTTTCTCCTTCGTAGAACCGTCTTCTCTCCTTCTTTTCTTAGCCAAAAAATATAAAAAACAACCCTAAAAATCTTATTTATAGTGTTTAGAATCGTAATGGTATTTTTGTAAATTTTTAGAACTCAAATAAGCCCAAATTGACCAATCTCCTCGAAGTAGCACCGCGGCTCTGTTCTTTAGGCGCCACGGTGAGGGCGCGCGCTTAGCTCTCCCTGTGCAGTGCTTCGAAATAGCACTGCAGCCCTAGTTTTGGGCGCCGCGTGGAAATCTCCTTTTCTTTGTATTTTGCTGCCATGGCGTCATTGAACAAGGTTAGGCTCTCTTCTCTTGGGTTTTTGTACTGCAAATAGACCATTTCATGGCCTAGACACCATCTTTCAAGGCCGCGGCTCTCCAAAATCAATTTAGCTTTAAAAGTTACTCAAACACTCGCCTACGAACTCCAAATGATACTAATCTATAAAACCAACTAAAATTACATAAATTAACTATTAAAACTACTCTAAAACCAACAAAACACTCAATTAAACGTATCAAAAGACAAGCATAAATCCAATGTATCAAATACCATACTCTCTTCTTCATTTTTTTCCCCTTAATCCTTGGGATAAGTTTGTAACAAGAACTAAACCAAAGCCTAAATAATGCATAAAGGAAGAAACTTTATTCATCGTTTCTATTCTAATTGAAGAAAGAGGGTAAATTACAACTATACTTTATATTAAACAGAGCTGGGATAAATTTACAATCTTTGATAACCATTTGCACAAAAATGACTATCTACATGTTTGGAAAATATAAATATTGGCTTTCAACACGCGACTACTAATTTGGCTTTTGCCAACTGCTAACAAATTCCAATCTTGCTAGCCAAAACAAAACTACCAGCCCCAAAATCTAAAGCCAGAAAAGAAAAACAAAAAAAAAATGTCCCAAAATTAAACAAAAGACAATGCCTTTGATTCTTTTATACATAGCAATCAATGGCTATTACAACTAACTACACTATGGCTCTCAACCATTGAAGGCGGCAGTCAAATTCCCTACTCTCAAGCCGACCCTTGATGATGATAAATCACCCCTGCAAAAATGTGGCATTATGGGCAAAGTCTCGAACCCCACAGATCTCTTTGCATCAAAAGCTTCATTGAGTTTAGACGCGTTTTTGGATGGAAGTGAATTAGTGGTCCTTCTGTAGGGACCAAACCATTTTGTCTGCATATATGCGTTTCTTCTCCATGGTGGCATGGGCATTTCCCTGCTCTTCATTGATTGCTTAATTGCGGTGCACATTAGCCTCACAGTCTGCTTGAGCTCTGCTACTTTCCCAACAAATATCCGTGGGAAAATCTCAAGCAAAGAGGCGTAATGATCGGTCGGCCGGGCGATCTCAAACTCTCCGACTAGGAATGCCTCCACAATGTAGCGAGTTCCTTGGACATTCACATCAACGTACTCGTAGTCCCCTGCTGGAAACCTTTTGGATTTCTCCCACTTTGACTTGCAAAGCCCTGAACAATTTGGACACATGAAACATTAGCAATGACACTGCCATAGAGTGACACAATTTCAATTAAATACAAGTAAAATTGCCAAAAAAATGTGAATCTGTGTTGATATTGAATTATGTGTAATTATCTCATTTCGGATCAAGTCAAGTGGAAAAATTGTGTGCGTGCGCGTGTTTTTTCTCCATTTTGAACTCCACATTTTTTTGATGATGTGTGGATTTGCCACTAAGCGCTAAACAATGCCTATATTAAACAGAGATGCAGAGTATCAAATCCCATACTCCCTCTCTCTTTTTGCCATCACAATTTCTATTAATGTTTTCAAAATCATATGAACAAAAGGACCTCAACCAAAAGGTCCAAAGTTCTTAAAATTACCATATCCCTAAAGTATACTCAATAATACTAACCACACCTTAAAAGCAAACATCTTATGCAAAATAAATAACAAATAAAAAAAGAAGAAATTACTCACCGGCATCAAAACCCTTCTCTCTCAAATGGGTCATCAACCGTCGTTTGAAACCCTGAGACCCCTTGTCCACTAACCCTATCGTCCCGTACGCAACTTCTACCTCATCACGAATCTTCCTCTTGATCATATGATCATCATCACCATCATTAACGTTACCAATCAGAAAATTCTTCAGAACATCCTTCTTCTTCTCCGCCGGCTCGGGCCAATTATTACCACCGTCAGATCCTTCATCAAACAAAATATTTCTCTCTAATTCCTTCAAATCACGCCGTTCATGATCAATTTCCTCATCATCAAAAATAACATCTCCTTCCGAGCCATCTCTTTCAATGAAGGAGTTTACAAGATCCGAGAGCTCCGGCGAGTGCTCGCTCCCGCTGCTCTCGCAAAGCCTCACCCTCGCCATCTCGTCGAAAGCCGCGGCCACTCTCAAGAACCTCATCACCGGAATTCTCGCCATTTTTTTTAATTTAATTTCAAGCCCTTTCCTTTTGTTATTTTGGCTTAATCTGGTTGTGCTTTTTGAGCGCTTTTTGTAAGAGAACGACAGAAGTAGTAAAGGGCTAGAGATAGAAAGAGAGATAATTGGTTTGGTAGTTACTTTCCTTCAATTCTAATAGTCTATGGTGTCGTCATATTATGATCATGGTGTTTCCACAGAGAAGATGATGAGCACATCAAGAAAAAAGGGTGATCGGGGGATTCAGAATATCGGATGGAGAAACTGAACGCCTCTTCTCCCTATTATTTATAATGTACGGGTGTTCGATGTATAATGGCAATGTTTTTGTGATGTATTTGGGCTTGATTACGAACCTTTTCAATGTATCTGCCCATTTTAACGTCTAGGTTCCACCTTCCTCCAATTGCTTAACTTTTAAAGTGTAGTGTAAGCACTGAGATACACAAGGATTATCACCTAAAAACATGTTTATCGCCTAATTAAAATGAGACCTTTCTTTTTTTTTTTTTTTTTTGGAAAAATTTTTTTTTTTTTTTTAAGTAATAATAACAATTATAGTGATTGTTGTCTAGGGGTTCCACGCAGACAAATTTCCACTAAATCTACTGTTTTTTATAAATTGCTCAGCTTATAGGTCGTGTTTGGAATTGATCATGTTTTTATTTTTTACGTTTTCTGAGAAAAAAAATGAAAACGTTTTTAAAACGGCGTTTGGCGCAATAAAGACAAAAAATGGAAATGAAAACGATTTTTTGGTTTAGTGTAAAATGAGAGAGAAATGAAAAACGACGGCCGTGTTTGGAATTGATCATGTTTTTATTTTTCACGTTTTTTGAGAAAGAAAAAATGAAAACGTTTCCAAAACGGTGTTTGGCACAATAAAGACAAAAAATAGAAATGAAAACGATTTTTTGGTTTAGTTTAAAATGAGAGAGAAATGAAAAATGACTTTTAGTCGTTTTTCATTTTTTGTTTTAAATTTCTCCTCTCTCGAGCAGAGAGAGACAAAGAGAGACGTTAATGAGTTTTTTTACGCTCAAAACAATCTCTTAATAAAACTACCAAACACATTTTCAAAAATGATTTTTTCTGAGATTGAAAACGTTTTCATTTTCATTTTCATACAAAAAATCATTTTGAAACGAGTTCCAAACGCGCCCGACTTTTAGTCGTTTTTCATTTTTTATTTTTTGTTTACGTTTTCTCCTCTCTCGAGCAGAGAGAGAGAGACATTAATGGAGTTTTTATATTGAAAACAATCTCTTGATAAAACTATCAAACGCATTTTTAAAAATAATTTTTATCTGAGATTGAAAACGTTTTCATTTTCATAAAAAAACAAAATCATTTTAAAATAAATTCCAAACAAACCAATAACTTTCATTTATATTCCCAATATATTATTTTTAAGGTTATTATATATACCACTAAAGCATGACAGTTTATTATTCTCTCTATTTTATTTTGTATTACTGTCACGTCAGTAATTATTATAGGTTATTACTAATGACATATATATTTTCTTTATTTTATTTTACATATATAATTATAGTTCATCGTTTTGACATTCCAATTTTTATATATCTTCATCAAGACCATACAATTTGACCCACATATTTATATTCGACGGTCTTGGTTTACTTGGGATGAAAGGGTGGATAAATTATCACGATGAAGTTTTTAGCACGGAACATTATTGGTATTTGTGTCATTGTTTTGAACTGACCCTATCGCCACTACTAGCCAAAAAAAAAAAAAAAAAGAAAAAAAAAATTCTTCCCTTAATTATCGACGGCTCTTATCACACTGTTTCTAAGCTACATTTGGACTTACTTGTGTGCCGCGTCAACGAATCTCTTAACGCCACAAGATCGGTGGGCTCTACCACATCTTATCCACGTGGGCCATAAGCTCACGTGTTGATCGCAAGTGGGAAAGTGTTGCCACGTCATTATCTGTTAATATTTTGTTTTTACTTTTCGGAAGATAAATAATTTGTTACTCTGGATGTGGAGAATAGACGCAGCCGGCGTCTGTTGACAAACAATAGCTACTAGCTAGCAATAGCATGTGCATTGATATGTCCAGGTTCAATGAACCTTTGCAATGTATCCAGGTGCATAGAACCAACCGTATTCTTCTATTCCTCGATGGGTAATGGATAAATCTTGTCGGAAAAGAAAAACAAAAAGATAGTTGATTTGATTGAATATATTTAGCGATAACAAAAACACGCAAGTCTAAAAGATAGTACTTGAAGATAGTTGAAGATATGTAGCCGCCAAATTAGAGAGTGTTGGTTCGTCTCTGAAAAAAGAGAGAGAGAAAATTATCATATGCGTTCGAATGATTGATTGATTCACTTTGACGTGACTTTGTAATTTTATTAGATTGTATGAAAAATAAAAATAAAAATCTAATTGAATTGAATCCGTTTAAGGGTGTTTTTTTTTTTTTTTTTTTTCTGGAACTAAACTTCTACTTGGAAATTCATGAACCCTAGAAGTTGCGAAGGCTGGCTTACTTCTCTCTCTGTCTTTTTACTGGAAACTATTATATATACATATATATATATATATATGTATTTAAAATATAATACATATATATATATATATATATCCTTTTCTTCAAAAGATCATAAGGTTTAAGAATCACAGAGCAAGAGACCCAAATGAAGAAGCCAAGAAGCACCACCGTACTTCTATTGAAAGGATGAATCCCAAGTTCTTGATGAAATTTCAGGTGCGCAAGGAAGCACAATACAAGAAGAAGAACGGGTCAAAGATGGAGGCCTTGGATTAGCAATTTTGTGGTTTTTTTTTTTTATTGTAATTTTTCACTGAAGGTTCATTGTATTTAAACCTAGTGCTGTTTCAGTATCACATTGTTCTTCGTAGCATAATTATTTGAGCTTAGTTCACTTCACAGATTCAAATTTTCAATTCAAGCTGAGATGTGTTATTTTCTGAGAGCTTTTAACTGTAGCGGAAAAAGTTAGACAGTGACTATTTTTTAGAGCTTTTAACTGTACAAATTTAGAACTGAAAACTCAAATCGGTTAAATGAACGAGACATTGATGTTAATCTACTTGGTTTTGTTTCAAGACTAACCATTTCATGTCACGTTTACCAAACTATAAGAGTACGTAATGAGAAACACAATTTGAATAAAGTTGATATGTATTCTTTTTAATAGGAAATTAATAACAAGGGTGGGAAAGATTGTCATTTCATTTATCTCATTTCTTACATAGTACTAGCCTAACTAAATTTTCATTATTAGTTTTGTACATAAACACATTATTAGATGAAAAATGAAATCACTTTTCCTTTTCTCTCTATGCCAAGTAAACAAGTCTTGTGGAAATAACCCGGCCGTATGAGTTTTGTTAACTTACAAAAAGGGGGGGGGAAAGAGAATTTTGAACTTGAATTTTTGTAATATCAAACTTTTTTTAGAGCTTGTTTGCTATCATTTAAGTTTTTTTTTTTCTTTAACAAAATGAGGGTGAAGATTCTATATCAAAATGATGATCCTCTGATAATATTCTCTACCTTTCCTTGATTATGAAAAAAAAAAAAACAATATTACTAAACATTTTTAAAAATTACCAGCAAATTTTCCTATAAAGTATTTTTTTTTTTTAAGAAAAAGTTTCCTGCAATACAAACTATATATTATCCCTTTCAAGAGATTCCTTTCTTTTTTTTTTTAAGGGAGTCTCTACGGGGAGAACCCTTAAAAAACTACCGGTGGAACACTCTGTTTTGACCTGAATTAAGTTTTCAACATGTAGATCTGCACAGGTCTGTATTAAAAATTTACAGCGTGCCGCATAAAATTACTCTATCTGCAGATCTGACCGTTGAAAAAGTAATTTGACAGTCAAAATAAAGTGTTCTAGCGGTGATTTTTTTAGGGTCCCACTGCAAAAAAAAGCTAATATATATAAATAAATAAATATATATTTATATATATATTAAGGGTCAAGCATATGAGACAAATTATGACATGCGGAGAATAGTCACGTTTTTTTTTTGGTACCAACAATATTATAAGACATTTTGTCACGTTGCAAAATGACCTAACTTTGTTTTTGTTCGAAGAATATTCATGTTGAACATATTCCATATACTTTACTGAAAAATGTTTAACATTACTCTCAGTAATTATTTATACCTTTTTCAACCAAGTAGAAATTATCATTAAAAATTGTCTGCATTCACGTACTATAATTTTTTTTGGTAGTATATGTACTAGAGTTTAACATTCCAATTTGTTTTTGGTTTACAACGTTGGATGATTATCTACTGTTGTTATACTTAGAGATCTGAAATCTTAATTTAAAAATTAAAATCATTTGTTTTTTATTTTTTTTTAAATGTGGATTTAAATTATATACTATTAGGATCACATCCATACACGTGGACATCCACATTTTGGTGAAGAACGTCGACTAAAATTAATTGGCTACAAGATCAACTCAAGAGACAACGTCAACTGAAGAAGTATGACAACAGACGAACCGTGGGGACCACCACGGATAAATCATGAAAGAGGGTTTTTTGGAGGTCACAAAGCCCAATCCAGCTAAATATGATATTAAAAGCACAAATCGGACCAACATTGAAGAGGAAACTGTCATGAAGCAAATAGGGAAACAAAGAATAGGAAAGTCAACTAAAGAAAGAGGAAACTATCCATTCTCCAGTCGACAACACATCAGCTCAAGGAAAAAAAGAAACTAGAGATCATCTCCTATAAATAGGGGGTTTTGATTGAATTATACATCTCATTTTGATCACAAATCGCATATTCTGCATCTTTACTCTCTATCTAGATTCTCTCTTTAAATCCCCACCTATCTTCTCTCCATTCAAACCTCTACAGTAGACATAGCCTTCACATTGAAGGTGAACTACTATAAATCCGCGTTTTCATTTATTTTCCCGTAATTTACGTTCTTATTTTAGCGTTTTATCGACTTAAATCAACTCATATCGACTCACCAACATGAACGATACCCAAAAGCAGTCATTGGCCATCTAAATATATTAAATTAATTAGCCTTCACATTGAAAGTGAACCACTATAAATTCGCGTGTTCATTTATTTTCCCGTAATTTACGTGCTTGTTTTAGCGTTTTATCGAATCAAATCAACTCATATCGACTTACCAACGCGATCAATACCCAGAAGCAGTCATTAGCCATGTAAATAGATTTAATTATAGAATCCGATCTCTACATATACTTATAGTGGATTTGAATTCTATACTTATAGTGGAATTAAGTAGAATTAGTGCTAACTTTACCCGTAACCACAAATCTTTTGTTCTTAATACTAGAAGATGTATTAAAAAATTGGAAGTAATCATATCCTTTTAGGACTGGAACCTGACCTGCTTTTGGGCTAGATTCATGGTCACCCTTTGCTTATTTTGCCCCCTCGAGGAACAGACACAAATTACAAAACAATCCAATTGTCTAATAAAGATACCAATCGTGTCTCGCCGTCCATTTCTTACTTACATTCATTAAAGTCTATTTCTTCTTCTCTTTTTTTTTTTTTTGTTATACAATCCTTTAGTCTGCTTACTTCCCTTTTCCTTGAAATATTTTTTAATTTTGAACCATTATGACGTGATTTTAACTGGACATAATAACGTTTGGAAACATACACTAACAATAACAAGTAAACTTTCTTTTGAAAATAAACTTCTAATTTTTAAAAAACTTTAAAATGACAATGTTCTAATTATAACATTGAACATTCAACAAGTCATTTAATAACTACCAAATGTTAAAAATTTTCATATGCTATGCTTGGTATCAAAATTAGCACCAACTACAACAATATACAAAATTTAACAGAGTAATATTGCATTAAAGAAGAATTTTATACCTAAATAGACGTTGCATAAGAAATGCTCTACCAAAACCATTGACGGTGTCGTTACCTTATTTTAGCAAAGCTTCCTAGAATTCCCAATAACGAAATATGCACCATAGATGGTGATATAATCAAATATGCAGAAAGAGACAAGCAAGTCACATCCCCAAAAAGAGAAAAAGTCGACAAATTATTATTTTATTTTGAGATTACATCCCCAACAAGATCGAAGAATAAAGAAAACGTCCTTTCTCTGAATCTGTGGTGGAAAAACTCACACATTTTTCCATCTGGAGTCAGTCATATACTGTAAATAGAAAAAGCAACCAAAGCAAAAACTATACACGGCGAGCACGCATAGAAACGCGTCCACCTAAATAATCAAGCAGGATTGCAATCACTTGAATAATCAAAACCCGTCACAATATACAACTTACAATGACATTTTCTACTATCTGTCGAGACGTTCATCTAGAGAGCGCAATCACCATCCACGCGGAGCTTACGACTGTCCTAGCAACCTCTCCTGCAAGATGTCTCTAAGCTTCACGTACAGAGCTTGTTGCTCTTCGAAACTGAGGTTCACCAATATCTGGAAATACAGAAGAGGAAAATTGGCATTCATCTTTATTTATGGGCGAGTGTGTGAAGATGAATCATTGCGACAACTAACTAAAGGAAATACCTGGTCCCAGATCACCTCAACCGAGACGCTTTGAGGCACAACGAATGACTGATGATAAATGTATGCAAATACGGCCATCACCATCTACAGAAAAAGAAACATTAGTTACAGGAGTATCCATAATTGGCCACCGCCACAAAATCTAATTACTTTACCCAAGTGATGGATTGCAAAGAAACCCCATTCAAGCACGTGTCATTCAAATAAGACAAGTGGTGTGAAGAATACATTTTGCAAACAAAAATCAGCCACATAGTGATATTTTAGGTGAATAAAATATGCACTAAACCGCATCGAATTCGTGATTGAGATTTAAAAAAAGAAAATTGATAATAAAAAAGCTACAGTTTGGAAGATTTTTATTAACAAGTTTATAGAAAAAGGTTGTCAGGCTCAAACTTATGAAAAGCTTACCTGACAATCCATTCTGTCTGTAATTCCACCATGCCCAGGAATACTATCACCAAAATCCTGTGGCAAAGAAGGCACAAATAAAATAAGTATTATTACTGTTCACATCTTTGAGGCTCATAGCTACTAATTGCGACAATTATCATTAGAATAGTCTCGAGAGTAAACCTTGACTTTGAAAGCTCTTTTGAAACCACTAGCAAAGAAGCCTCCAAAAGGTGCTATGATCGATGCAAATAAGCCAAGGCATAGGGCATGCCATTGAACTGGTAATACAGAGATTTCTTTCCAAGGAAACTGTATGTGAAGAAATAGTTATAAGCACAAAAGGATGACATATAATGATTCAAGATTGAAATTTCACGCAAAAGAATGCTTTAGACCTAAAACAAACATTAAAAAGGTAAAGAAAAACAAAAACTACAAGTTCAAGACAAAAAGCTGACTTAGGTTTAAGGACTGAAAACAAAAGGCTTATCAATGCCACCAACGGATATCACCATAGTTTAAGATGCCTCGTCATCTACAAATTGATGCTTCTATAATGTTCATCCACCAAAACGCCAAAACCAACAGAAGCATTCTTGGCTTAGTAGATGGTAATATTCCATCTTCTTGTAGTAAAAAGAATAAATCAATTTTACCAAAGGTCCTAGTTGGATTCAAATAACTAGATGGTATAAGCTTAATACTCCTATAAAAGTCTTAACTTTTAATTCAATAAAGAATTCATATTTTCCTCAGAAGGCTTAAAAATTTTAGATGAGCAACAAAATATCATCTTTTTTCATGACACCGCCAGAATTTCAAGAGACAGGAGACCAAATATAATACGTATCTTTATGAGATCAGGAAATTGTAAACATTCTTGTTCAATCAGCTAAAAAATTTATTATCTCAGACTAGCCGAAATTCGAATCTTTAACCTCAAGCAGAGACCATACAAGCATGAATAAAAAATAGACAACAAGAGCAGGTTCAAAAGAATGTGATTATGCTCACCCATTGAGGAACCCATCCAGGTAAGATAAAAGTGTATGGCTTAAACAATGGACCAGGATCACATTGAAGCCAACCAGTAGATAAATCCTGCAAATTTTGCTACCTAAGTTTCAATAAAATGAACGAGTATGTTTTCCCAACCATCAACGATTGAATTTTATTAACATAAAGTTACCTTTCTCGGACATGTCAGCCACTGATAACGGCCCATGACATTTGCTAACTGCAAAAAAGATTAGACACTTTAGAGAACACCATTGCAAATAAAACCAAACGTATAGACATTTGCTGAAAGGATTAATCCTATCAGAGAGTTAAATTAATGCGTAACATAAGGTTAACCATAAAATACAATTGAAAGTAATGTAGTGTTCGGTGAACAAAATTAAGGTAACATCTTTATTTTGAAACCTATTATAAAAAGGGTGCAACCTAATCACTTGGGTCCAAGAAGTTACGGCGTTATGCGTTAGCAAAACTGAACCTGTTATATGTTTTAAAAAGATAACTACTTCAAACCAATTCCGCCTCCTAAGTAGCTAGTTGTAACCACTACTGTCAGTAAACTGAATAAAGAATAACAAAATGCAAGATCAACTGTAAAGCAATTATGATGGAAAAACAGATAACTAAACTGTACGAGCAAGACACCAAAAAAAAAAAGGGAGATGTGACTATCAAAGTGAAGAAAGAATGCTACTTCATAACATTAAGCGTGGCTGGACTAAACAGGGAAAAGACAGATAATGCAATATGATATGATCATACAGCGCTAGTGACAATTAGAGAACACAAATACTTACATTAAACCACATTACCATCACGAACTATATTGTGGATCTATGGTGAAAGGGGCCACAGCCACTGGTATGTGACTGATTGGAAAACTAAGTTCAAGTTTGTAATAAAGTTGTCCCTAAATCTACTGAGGAACATGCGCTAGAAAACAAAGTTTATTTAGCACAAGAGAAAAGCATAATTACCAAAAATGCAGAGACGATAGTTGTAATGGACGCTCCAATGAATCCCTCCCAAGTTTTCTTTGGAGATAATTTGATTAATGGAGTTCTTCCAAAAAAGAACCCAAAGAAATATGCAGCAATATCATTGATAGCAATAAGCGTTGCTGGAAGAAGAAACCTGAATCCAGTGTAACCAGAAAATGAAATATAACGTGAATACAAATACGTTGACTACCAAGACACACTAACCCAGGGGAATAGCAGTCTTGATGAAATAAATGCACTAATGCAGTACTTCATGACGGAAAATACTATGTACCATAAATGAGTACCAAATGCAATATCAGGTCCTAGATACGAATTCATATCTATTACTATTGTTCACCCAATAAAAAATAGCCTTCTGAAAATATTACATAAGATAGTTCATCCTTTACTAGATTCCAGAGTAGATGAAACTTAATCAGTTCAACCATTTTGTAATTTCTTCCTCCAACTTGCTATCTCAATTCCATTGATTCAACAATTGGATTCAACAATTGGATCTTTGGAGTTATCGTATTATTAGTTGTTCACCCAGTAAAATTATATCCTTATGAAGATATTACATAGGAGAATTTATAGTTTATTCCATCATAAGTAGACAAAAGCCATAATCAGTTCCACCACCAAGTAATTACTTCCTTCAACTTGATACCTCATAAAGAAAAAGAAAATGAAGGCCTAAAAGACAGAGAGATGGGGTAAACAAATGTTATGGGAAGATCCTACACAGAATTGTCTCCCTGAGTAAGTTGTGTTACCAGAAAATTCCTTCAAAAATGTTGGCAACTGTGAAAGAGGATTGCGTAAACACGACAATCAGAATCATATGTGTCCATGCATACTGGCCAAATTGATATTTGTACATCTTCTTCTTTAATGTAAGGATGAACCACACAAAACCTGAGTGATTTTACAAAAACAAAAAAATATATATAAGCAGCTGCACGAGATTAAGAAGTTCCAAGGGTAAAAACTAACCCTAAAGCAGTGAACAAGCAAGAGAAGATTCTAATATAAGAAACATTATAACATGCTAACAAAAAAGAGGCAAGCGAATCAAATGCTAAGTGCCAAATTAAAGCATGCCTTCATAATAAGATTCCTGCTACCAAAACTCACAATTGCCGCACTATAAAAGGACAAAAAAAGATCAAATGTATGACCAACCTGAGATATAAAGGGAATAACAAATAACCATTTGATACTTGATAAGGCTGCTAACAAGCTGGTAAAGAAACTTGTCTGGAGTTACAGTACTGACAAGTCGTTGACTGAGAATGCGACCATATACAAATAGCATTGCAGTGAAGAAAAAGTGCCTGTACACAGAATTCAAGATGAAAAATGAATTATAAAACTCATAAATTAGAGTCTGAACAGTTTGACTTCTTCCATAAGGAAATCACACTATCACCATAATGAGAAATTAGTATTCTGACCAATTTAACAGCCTGAATCCTGGGAGATGCCTATCTTCATGAGCTTTCCTTAGAAGATTGAACAACTCTTTCGCCATATAGATTTGGATAACAACCACCATAGCAGTAATACAAAGATGGCCCAAATAAATAATTAATGCAAAGCCCCCAATCATCCAAATGGAAGAGTATGCACGAATCCACATCGACCTGTACTTGTTGCGGTCGTCAACAAGTAAGTTTCCATTTGCTTTACTAACATCTGGAACAACCTGAGAAGCCAATAGGACATTAAACACAAATAAATTCCAGCTTTTAATTACTAATATGTCGAAATTAAGTTTCATTTTGTACCCATATCTCAGAACAAGTCTACATCCATGATTAGACAGAACCATTATCAGTTTTCCACTATTAGTTGAAAATTCAGCTTCAGTTTGTACCCATATCTCAGGACTAGTACGTATATTCATTATTAGATAGAACTGTCACGAGTTATAAATTTTCTAAATTTGAAGAAAACGACATAAAGCCAATATTTTAACTATCTAACTAACCTCATTTGAACGTCTACGATGCCGAACCCGAGCAGTTGGAGTTGATGGGGTGCTAGTATTATCTTTTTGCATGACTCTTTAAATTTTCTTTTCACTCATACGAATACGAATACATATAATGCAGAAATGTACCACCTGAGACATGAAATTACATTAATGCAATAAAAAAACAAATACATAAGATTGTTTCAAGAAAACTGAAGAGTTAAATCAGCTAACTGTACTAATTTTCTCGTTAAAGCATCAAACATGTAGTTACAACTATTTCTCTTCCTAGGTTTTTTCGAAATCAATTCACATTGATGTTCCGATTCAAGGCTTCGAATTCTCATTTGAAACAAATAGAACAAGGACGAAAATGAAACAAACTGCGTATCATAACAAAACGAGAAATTCGAACCTAAACAACATTCGAACCATATATTTAAGACAGAAAATGATGATTCTAACAAAAATCGAAAGAGCGAAACGAAATAGACGAAATCAGAAAAAAGCTCATTACATTCAAATCTGAGAGAAAGTCGGAGCGAGAAAGAAGCAGAGAGATGGAGAGAGACAGAGAGCAGCAAGTTCTTCTTCTTCTTTGTTCTGGTTTTGTTTATGTTTAGAGTGAGAGTGAGAGATGTAGAGAGAGAAAGAGGTTCGAAAACCCGAAGAGAGCAAAAGGAGGCGAATATGAATTTCGCACAGAGAGGGATTTGAGAAAAAGCGAAGCAACAAATTTTGTGCAAAACCGAAAGATCGAAAAGAGAAACACTTTCCTTCAAAAAAAAAAAAAGAAATACTTTATTATTTCAAATATCTTGTTATTTAAATACTCGATTTATTTGTATTTATTTATTCTCTTTTTTTATAATTATTTATTTATTCTCTTTAGATTAAATACTCGCTACATTTATTTCTTTCCATATTTTTTTTTAGAATATCTATTATTTATTTAAAGTTTGTTTATGTTTTAAGATAGAGGAACGGTAAAAAATATGTTAATATGAAAAGTTTAAGAAAGTATATAGGTCAATTTTTAGTTATAGAAATTAATAAGTTATAACTTATTAAATTATGGTTGATAACCAGATAAGTTATGGATAAACTTGTCAAGTTATGGTTCATAGCCAGACAAGTTATGAACAAAAACTGTGAATTATGGACAATAACTTATCAAGTTATGATTCATAACTAGATAAATAATAGATAAAAAATCTATTTATCAACTTATATAAATTATTGACTTATTAATTTTAATTTATATCAAATCTCAATCTATTTTCTTCTTTCTCTCTTTTAAGATATTATTATCGTTCTGGAGGCCCATGTTTCTTGATTCCTCCAGCATTGCAGATAGATACAAAGGTGCCAAAGATACGTCGGCCGTTAGATTTATATAATTTTGATCTTCAAGTTACACGTGGAAGATCTGAGTATTACAAGTGGACATTCTCGTCTCTCTGATTGGTTATGTCCCTTTCTTTGTTTTAATTAAATTGGTTAAGCGGTAAGCACCCCCACCTTGAGATATAAAGTACGTTTAGAATAGAAATTTGTGTTATTTTTTTTCATAAAAAATACATATAAAATAAAAATAATTTTAAATTTATGAACTAAACGTCTCTTGTACACTTCAAAAAAATAATATAATTTTCTTAAAAGACTAAAAAAGAAAAGCAGCCTTTGACATTAAAAAGAGATGTCAAATCAGGAGGGGATTTCATAAAGTTTTCTTTATCATTTTGAACCCCCTTAGCATTGGCAAAATAAAAAAATAACCCCTAATGATTCAAAAATATCATTAACTTTCTTCGATTTATGAGATTTTACGTTTTTGTACATATATTTTAGTGTTATTCAGAAAGTTTAGCTATACTATTTGATAATTGTTTCTAGGTTCTTATCAAGAGGGAAATTGGTTCGGGTGGCCCATATTTCACCCAACCCAAAATTAATGATCGAATTTTTTGAATTTTAAATGGGTCATTTTCCTTCAAATTCCAAAAAAATAATAATTATTATTATTATTGTTTCTCAGTCAATAGGTGATTTTAACTAATAAAATGATCGATATATAAAATTGGGCTGCTGTTTGGCCACCCAACACAAAAATATTTAACCACTGTTTTGTTATTTTAGGTATATGGCCGATCAGTATTTTTACCATTTTCTGATTTTCCAACTTAACCCTCTTTTCATTCTTCTTTTTCTGATTTTCCAACTTAACCCTCTCTCTTCTTCTTCTTCTTCTTCTTCTTCTTCTTCTTAAAAAGAAAGGAACAAATAAAAAGAAAGATGCCTCCTTGGAAATCTAAGTCAGATGCCTCCTTGGAAATCTAAGGCCTTGTTCCGCTTGTTCCGCAGGGTGATTTTTGAGTTAAAAACTCAAAAAAAATATAACTCGAGTTATAACTTTATTCGAGTTCATATTCTTTTAAGTTTAAACTTGAGTTTGAACTCGAGTTTGGAACTAAAATTTGAGTTCAAGTTTCCCCTTTAACTCGAGTTCAGAAACTCGAACTCAAATTAATGAACAGTATTTTTTCTATTCTTAAAAATGCTATAACTTTTTCGTTTTAATTCTGATTGAGATGATTTTTTTTCTATGCGTTGACAACGAAAAGACGAATAAAACTAGACCCATATACCCTATTAAAATTTTTAATTAGCATTGAGTTTTTATTAAAATACTATCTAAAAACAAATTCAAGTTTTAACTTACTCAAACACAAACTCAAAAAAGATTTTTATCTCAAACCATAACTCAAATGTACACAACTAAACACAAACTCAAGTTACAACTTCAACTCAAGTTATAACTCAAACTCAACTTAAAAGCTACACTCAAATTACCTAACTCAAAAACATTAAAAGAACGAGCCCTAAGTTGTCTTCTTCTTCTTCTTCTTAAAAAGAAAGGAACAAATAAAAAGAAATATGCCTCCTTGGAAATCTAAGTGATGAGAGATAGAGAACAAATAAAAAGAAAGGCTCCATATAATATATGCCTTCATGTTTTATCTTTGTTTCTTACCAGTGATGAGAGATAGAGAACAAATAAAAAGAAAGGCCCCTTGGAAATCTATCTAATATTTACAAATTCCATTATAAGCACATAAATTTTGGAAAATTTGCCTTCCACACGAAACTTATTGTGATGGAATATAATCCGAACAATTAATTTCCATATAATATATGCTCGTACAATTTGTCAAGTAAAGTGACGTACATGAAGGTGAAGACGAAGCTGCTTGGTGCCCTTTCTATTAGAATCACAAAGGTTGCAATCTCTTTTGGTGCTTTTCCACTGTTTCACTTTTGGAGCCCTTCAGATTCTCAACTATAATTTTATCACATCACGTCTACACAAAAATTAAAATTTGATATCCATGTAAGAACTTACGTAGGAACTTTCATAGAATTATGACAAATATAAGCTAATAAGCAATGTGTGTGTATATGTATGTATACACGGCGGCGGAGGCAAGTGCACAGAAGTTATGTATAAATTTTTTTTTAATATAATTTTTATTTGTATTTTTTTTATTTTTCTACCGCACAAGCTGAATTAAAAATCCCTTATTTATTTTTTCTCTTTCTACTCTGCTCTTCTTCTCATCTTCTCCCAACAAGCAATGTTTGCTTGAGGACTAGAGGACTGCTGCTGGCCAATCACGCCCACTACTATTCAAGTTTGTCTTCTCTTCCTTTATTTATTTTGTGCTTTGTGCCCACTTTTCTCTCTTTTTTTATTTTTTTTAAGATCCGTGAACATTTGAGGTTTTATCTGTAGCTCAAAAAAGCTTTATAGATAATGTGTCTTTTATTTTTTACTATGTTTACAGTACAAACTTTGTAGATTCGTACTTATTGTAAAATATGCTTTATGCCCCCACTGAAATTTTATCTTAACTCCGCCACTGTGTATACATATATTTGCTATTGGAATCTATGCTTTTTTAAATTTGGCAAAATCTATTCTAAAATCTAAGCTGATCATACAGAGATAAGCTGATATGTGCCTATGGCCTTATTTACCAAACAAAATGATTTTTTGGGACAGATTTATCAGCTGCAATCAATATTCTTCTTTCCTTCTAAGATAGCTTGTTCGCTGGGAAAAAACAAGGGACAAAAATAGCCTTAGAATTATTAGCATTAAGTAGTCGTTGGTCCTTACATGTGCTCACCATGCTTTCAAGTGTTCTACAACAAAAGCCGCTTGTGCTAAGTATAAGTTAACAAGAAGATTCCATTTCATTTTTTTTAAGGTTAACAAGAATATATATATATATATATATCTTATTGCATCTTATCTTATTTTATCGAGTTTCTTTCATCATGCTTTCAACTCCTTAAAAAAGTAATAAGACAACATTTATGCTTCGTTTGGAACCTAGTTTTTCGAGAAATTAATAGCAGATGATCATGTGACAATGGATAGTTGTAAATCATGTTAAGTTGTGAAACTTAATTATCGCCTTACATAAAGGATTTTGCGGATTGATCTTATAAAAAGGGAGCACAATTTTATTAAAAAATTAAAGAGATTAGAGAAAACTCGGAGTTGTGAGCCATGCAATTTTCTCTTGTAAACTTCTTATTTACCATAGTGAATTAGTGCAGCAACTAAAAAAGGGGTTGTGATGCCCAGATTTTTCACTTACTAGTTGGCCAATGCATTACATGATTTTACATTTATATGCATATGAGTTATATGTTTGATGTGTCATCAAGATGCATGAATAGGTAAATAATGTGCATTAAGTATTAAGTTGTGTATGTTGTATTCATTATTGACAGGTTTCTTCGACGGTGGATCCGGTAAGTGGGAAGGTTTAGGCCTCATTCATTTCACCGATTCGAGTTTTCAGTTTTAGGTTTCTACAGTAAAAAGCTCTCAGAAAATATCACATCAACTTTTTCTGCTACAGTAAAAAGCTCTCAGAAAGTGTCACATCTCAGCTCGAATTGAAAACTCGAATCCGCGAAGTGAACGAGGCCTTAGTATACGTTTTGTCGGATAAATAGATGTAAATATGACAAGAGACCCTTTATAATGAGTATGTAAGTGGATGAGATTGATTAAATTACGAGGAGTTGACGTACGTTTCACATGAGTCATAGAGTTTGAATGTTCTAAAAACCCTATTTTAACATGAAATTCGGTATGAACTCATACGGCTAATTTGGTAAGCAAATTAATAGCTTACAACCTAGCTTACATTTGAAACCTGCTGTAAGTGTTTCACACCTTATAAAGCAGGTTTATACTAAAAATTAAGTCACTTGGCCTGATTTGGTGGAAGTACTTCACGGTGAAGTACTTTAGGTACTAGTTTTGTTGTTTAATGACTTATTAAGCAACCAGGTCAAGTTATCAGCACCAAATTTGCTAGTTCGACTCTCCCCAGCAGTTAAGCACCATTTTCAACTGGAGAACTCAGAAATCAAGCAAATTTCTAGGTGGTTTAGCCATTTTTAGTTACCAATTAGCAAGGAAACTCAAACTGGGCTAAGGTAAGCCACTGTTTAAGTATTCAGTACTGTTCAGTTCTGTTCAGGGGGTTTTCCTTTGAATTCGACTGTGATATTTGAACCACATGGTCTCTTATATGTCAGAAGGATCTTCATAAAAGGGCATAAGCAAATTCAAAGGGAAAGTAGTGGTTTTGGGTTCGTTTGTAGAAGCTGTCCAGAAACAGGTTTATTTCTAAACCAGTTCAGGTTTGTACTTAGTTACCTAGGTTAGGAAGCTTCTTTT